ACACACACACACACACACACACACACACACACTTTCATACTCACACACATAACTCACAGATCCACGCACTCTAATACAAAAACAACTGGCAGAAAACTGAGTTGAAAACATATATGTGCTTTAAGACTATTCTTTGACTCTCTCTGACGACAATGGCATAAAACATAATAATCTTTAGGGCATGTAGGTAGAAGAAGCCTCTCCACCCAACTTATTTGACCTTACAGTGGGCACTCTCAAAATTCTCTTCCACAGATCTCAAATAATTTTGATTGTGTGTTTGACTCAATAGGGTCTTCAAGATACAATATACGGTGCTTTGTTGTTTATGCATGGCAGGAAAGAGTCGTTTTGTAATAGATGTTCATAGCAAGTTTTAAAATATTATGTTTTCTCTAGCTTTATATTTGCATGGTTAGTCTTTTCTTGGTTAATTTGGTGAAAATGGAAATATTATGATTGTTTCATAAGAGATTTTACCTTTCACATGACATTGTATGCCAATCCTACTACTTTTCTTTCACAGCATTCTCAGAAACAACGCATTATCCTCCATAGACATCATCTCTTCTCAAAGCATGCCAGCATTATTGTACATGTAAGTTTCTGGATATATAATATATTAATTTCTTTATTGAAGTCACCGCACCAGGTACTATCTTTATGCTTGGGATGAATAGATGTAGACTGATAGAAGATATCTTTGCAGAAACAAACAGCAAAAGGATTAATTAAAAGAATTAGTAAAATTTTGCCATGCTGAATAAACATGATCACATAAAAAAATAAAAATTCTTTATTTGATTTGGACTTCAGAGAATCGGAGTTATATTTTCTGTTTTTGCAAAGTGGTTCTTCTTATCCTATGGACATCGTAAGTTCCTTGCAGGGGACAGTTAGGTATCCCTCAAGTATCTCTGGTACTTATTAATCAGGCTGCTGAGTAGCGTAATTTTTTAAATCCATTGTCTTATGCTATCAGAATGATATTGAGGTGAATGCTTTACCAACAGCGCATTCAAATAATTCAGTTTTTATTTTTGTTGTTGGTTATCAATGGTCATCTTAAAGAAATGACCCCAATCTTTTTAAAAATATGTATCTTTTCTTGCCTGTTCCCAGTTATAACTTTTTAAATTGTCTTTAATTAAATGTAAAAGAGAGTTGATAATTACTGGCTTTGGATAATTTGGTAGCATTGGATTTTTAAAATACTTGTCCTAACTTTTCAAGAGGAAACTATCTGAACTCTTAAAGCACACTCATTTTTCCTTGTTAATTTTTCACAGAGATGCATCATATAATTCCATTTCATCACTTGACTGGTCTTCATTTTCATTACTGACAAGTCTGGAGGAGATGTAAGTGGAGCAGTTTAATGTCGTCAAAAATTATTATGCTTTGATATGTCCTCTCTCTCTCTCTCTTTGTTTTATGCTTTTATTCTAAGTAATTGTAACCTGACTAGAGTAATAAGGAACTTTTATTATAATGCAGAATTCACTCTAATTCATATCAATTTTTTTTCCTTCTTTCATCTGTGCTTTATAATACTTACAACAGTACAAACATGAATGAATGCATACATACTTGCACGTTCACAGTTTTAATAATAATATATATAATGTGATGATAATTATGGCAATAGCGGTAAATTGTTTTATAAAGTGCTTATCCCAAACTCGAGTGTAAGCTGTGTGGGCTTTCTATTTTTTATTGACCTGTCAGACTCAGCAATATTCCAAACACTCTCAGCCCCCTCAAAAGCATCATTGCAAGCTGCCGTTTTTCTTGCCCAGAAAGGTCTTGTCTGCATCATCACTGACATATGATGGTATTTTCAGATTTTGTTCCGCATTGCTATTTCATTTTTTAAAAATATATGACAGATTACTACCCCTTAACTTCCGAAATTTTATAAACTGATATTTTAGTAGGATTATTTTCTTTTTATGATGCTTGTGAAATGACAGTTGTTGGATTTTATTTGTTTTCCTTTTTTTTTTTTCCTTGTTAAAATGAGGTGCTATTTTATTTGTTTTCTGTTAAAACTTCTGCTTGAGCTTCAAATAGTTTTATATGTTGAAGTTGCCTTTTATGTTCTTGTTTGTGTAAGATTATTGAAGTTAAATTGGCTATTTTTGCTTTTTGCTTTTGTTGAATAACAATAATATACCAGTCCTACTTCAAGACATGCTGAAAGTTTAGAGTGTTTCTGTGGTTAGACAATGATTCTTTTTCCCCTGTCTCCCCCTCACTTCCTTAAGTTCAATAGTGAATAGTGTTGTGAAAAAATTATATTTATTTAAGATAGTTAACAGTGTTATTTGGCCAAAAATCTTTCATTCCGCAAGGGATGGAAGTACTGGAAAAGAAAAATCTGTTAGTTCTGGGGGTCATATTTTTGTCTTTGACTTTACTAACTCAGTCAGGCCATTTGGAATCTCAAGTGTTCAACAGGGTGAAGGAATAGTAGTTTACCGTTGTGTTTCTTTTGTTACACCTTATTGTATGGTTAAGTAAGGGCTCTTACGCTCTTTTAAGATGCTGAGCAAAAGAAGGTAAAGTTTTTCCTCTTTTCAGAGGTGCAGAGAAGTGTTCAGTTGAATAGAATCATATAATATACAATGCTTTGATACAATATACATGTTTTCTTTTCATAATGAGAAATAATATTAATTGGCAGTGTTAGTTGAATGTAATGGCTTTAAATTTTTGGCTCTTGCTATTCTATTTATTTTCTAAGAACTGGTTAGTGCCAGATTTGCTTGCTTGTATACTTTGTATGTAGCGCATGCTAGTTGCTTTTTTCTGTTCTTCCTACTCAGGTACCTTCAGATGAATACAAATTTGTTTTTGGCTGATCTGTCACATTTTTATGGCTCAAAACTGAAAGTTTTGTGAGTAGCTATTTTGGTTCCATTTTTTGAATTGTGCTTGCAAATATTTTTAAAAATGTTGTACAGGTGTTCACAGAGTGCTACAGGGAGGGCCTAATAATTTTCTAATCCTTTGTCATTTCTATCTGTCTGTCTTGCCTCTTCCTTGCACGAAAACTAAATGATCGTTAGTATGTCCATGTACTTTTTTACTTAAAGAAAAATCTTCTTTGTTGGCAGTTCATTGCTAGCTTAGAGAATTTTCTTAACCCTATCCATATGTCTTGTTCTACTATCGTATCCATAGGACGTGGGGAACTCTGTGCCACCACTTTCCAAAGAGGAAATTTACGCGTTAATCCGATCCCTACGCTTTGCACAGCAGTCTGTCAAAATGATTTTTCAAGAAATACTGAAAGTTTCAAAGAGACCATCGCCCTAGAAGTATTCTAAATGGGAAGAATAAAACCCCTGGGGGTACAAAATGACCCCAGGGCGTACGGATAGGGTTAATACTATTATGCAGGTGAACATTCTGTTTGAGCACACTGCTATCTCTTTTTAGTTGTTCAGATAAAATTCCTTCTAGAGTAAAAAATTTGGATGACTTTATTACATAAACCTGGTTTGTAAAAGAATTGAACTGGGTAGGAGTGATGGTATGCAACAGATGTATGCCTGCAGCTTCGACAAGAGAAGCTGTAATTTAACTGCAAATGAGAGAGTGGACCATGGCTTCGCTAAAGAACGGAAAGTCTTTTCAGTCTAGGAAAAGTGGCTGATCCAAGCAGAAGTAGATAACACATTGATGTTTATCAGTCTAAGAGCATGAACCAGACAAGCATGCTGGCATGACATGGAGGGGGGTGGGGGCAGGGGCATAATTCATTTAACATCATGTCCCCATTGTTCAGTTTTGTGACCCATTGCCTGGAATTCGCAGAAAGTGAAATTCGTACATAACGAAAAGATTTCCGCATTTTACAATTTCGGTACGTGTGTGCTAGACTGTATTTCAGTTGATGAATATCAGACACTGAGTGTATATTAGAAATATGAAATCATGAGATAATTTGTTCTGAATTTGTAGGATTTTCCTTAGAATGGTTGAGTGATTAAAAAACTTTTTTTTTTTAATTTGCAAAAAAAAATGCGGACAGCAAGAATGATATTTATGAAAGTTAATTGTTTAGTGGGTTTTAAAAAATGATTTTCCCTATATATGCACTATAGTAGCAGATGTATGCTTCTTGTTAGCTTAAATTTGCTTATCTGGTGCAATTATTTGTCTTTTGTATTTTGATCAGAAATATATCTGGCAACCAGCTACTGAGCCTTAGTGAGGGCAGCCAGGAACTTCCTGTTGAGCAGTTGTAAGTATCCACTTGTTTGGTATTTCAGTGTTATATATTCATGCCTCCAGTCTTGTAGCAGAATAAGAAGCTGTATGTGAATTGCTTCAAAACGGTTCAGGAATTGTTCATGCTGTGATCATCAATTATTAAATTTGAGTATTATTTTAAATCATCAAGAGGGGGCTCTCATGGTCTAGAGATTATGGCATTGGCCTCTCGGTCTGAATGTCCTGGAATGGAAAACTGCCAATGGAAACAGAAAAAAATGTTATTATGTAATTTTTTCTCTTTATCCTCCTTTCGTGTCCTGTAGTTCTTTTTTATGTTGTATGCTTTCAGCCCAGTCCTGGCCACATCTGTGCTCCTCTCTTTCCCATACTCCTTTCTACTGCTACTCCTGGCTTCTTCTTACTGCTGTCTTTCAGCGGAATCCCTGATCATAGGGTACAAAAGATCAAACACCTAACCTTCTTGGACAAGGACAAAAGATCCTGGAAGTCTCGTGTGCCAGATGCGCATGTTAAAGATCTCTTGGTGGTTCTAAAATCAATAAGAGTAGGCTTCAGTTGCCATGCGGGCAAAATTCAAAATTAATTCCTACCAAAACTGAAAATACTCCAGTCAGTTAAAAAAAAATAGAGTACCTTTGAAATCGTAGTGTGCCTGCCGGTTGACAAGGGACCTACAAAATAGGCAAAATAGTCACATATGTGAAAATCTGTTGTACTGAAGGTTGGATAACTAGGAGGAGATCTAGCAGTAGAAGGTGAAGAAGAAGAAGAAGAAGAAGTCAAACAGTATTCTATACTTCCGTGAACATTTTTATAATGCATTATGTTTCCCATCTCTTAGTGTTTTTTGTGTAAGGGTCTAACAGTTTATCTTGCTCTCTAAAGATGTGAATTCTATTTCCTTATAACGAAGATATTTTATCAGTTATCTCTGTCCATCTGCTATTTTCAAAGGGTAGGCTAAGCAGGCAGCCTAACTCCTAATAGTCTAAACTGTGTCAGATGGAGTGTAGAACATTTTACATCTAATTTCCTCCCAGAACTGTGGTATATATGTCTTTGTCCTCTCCCCAGGTACATAGAAAACTGTGGCTTATCTTACTTCAGCTTTGGTGCTTCCGTAACATTCTGCAATTTGAAAATATTGTAAGTATATCTTTTTTTCCGTAGCATGTTTGTTGTAACAATTGATATCACTTTGGAGTGAGGCAGTTTGTGGCATTCTTTAAAAAGTACTGTAGACTTTTTTTTGTCTTTGCCCGATGTATTTGGTACCAATGTATTCAGTAAAATGAGCCCTTCTAACTGAGTTATTGGAAGTTTTAGAATGTGAATGCACATGTTGCCATGGAAATAAAAATGAGGTGCCTGAGGGGAAAAAAATATCTCAAAGACAGCCAAAGTTGTATCTAATGACAAGGCTTGTTATCAGCAGTGCACAAAAGTATTCTGACTTTATCATTATTATGACAGTTATCTTCTCCACCACTCCAGTTAAGTGACGTGACATGAAAAGGTTAATGTGTGGGTTGCAGCTTCGTTAATATGGCTTTTTTTACTTTTGTTTTCAGTGCTTCTCTTAAAATCTAGCTTTTGTCACTTGCCTGACCCTTTCTTATTAGGAGCTGTGTATAAGAATCAAACCTGACCCTCCAAATTTTGCTGATAAATAGCCTGGGGTGTCTGCGAAAATTATGTAATTTCACCATAGTATTTTTGAAAATTCGGGAGAGCAAGCTAACCAATCAAGTAAAGACCATAAATGTACATATATTTTCAGAAAGTAGAATGTAAATAGCAGGTTGTGGTCATTTGTGAAGGAGTTGAGACATTTGACAATGTAAAAAATATACCTTGTTGCAAAAGTTCTGTCACACTCACTTTAAAAGTACATTAACTCATTTACTTTTCAACATAGCCATGAGAAATTTGGTACACATGATCTTTATTCATTTTCTGCCAACATGACATGAAAAGAATAGACCAATGTTATTCCTTATTCAAGGGCGATAATTTTATACACACTGACTCTTGAAAAATCCAAATCCAAATTTGCTCAGTATTGTTTGTCGCCTCTTCCAGCTTGATTTACTGATACAAAATGTCTGTTCATTGACTGAATTAATGTCCTTGTAGTTGCCTGAGGAATCCCCTGCCATTCCTTGTGAAGTGCACCCTTCAGTTCATGACAAGTTTGTACAGAGTGCAGCCTGTTTCTAATTCTCCAGTCAAGGTCATCTTACAGATGTTCTGTTGGATTAAGGCTTGTTGATCTTGCAGGCCGGTCCAGAAAAATGATTTGATGAGTTTAGAAGGAGTTTCGGCTAATTATGGCCGCTTGGGGTCGGGCGTTGTCTTATTAGCACATTTCATCAACAGTGTCATATCGAGCAGTCAACGTGACGATAAATTTTGTCACGATACCGTCATACTTTGATGTTGCTTTGAAAGGACTTTGGGGACATTGGTTTTGGGAAATCTCTATCCTCTGAATGGATCACTTTACCAATGTCTCCATTTCCATTGATGATGTTGTTGTTCCCGAATGTGGCGATGTGTTCGATGAAACTGGGTTAGAACGGCTCCACATAAAGGGCAATAATCACGTAATCCACCATCATATAAATGTCTAATAATGATGTTTTAAGACAATCGGATGTACTTGGCAGTCTATGCACTTGGTTGGAACGGGTTTCGAACATGGGTTTTGACAATAACCAACATCTGACGTTGGGTTGTTCCCCTTGGTTGGCATGGTGTAGGCTTGTCTTGGACAGTTCTAGTGACGTTAAAACGCTTGTTCAAGCGTTAGATGGTCCTGCTGCACACATTTACGTGTCTTGCAACAGAAGAAAGCGCAAGTGAAGTATTTATCATATGCACAGCGCGCTCATTTTCTGCATTTGTCCATTTTGGTTTTTGAAAACAGGTGAACTGATGACCGAACTGTTAAAAATCATTGAATTTTATTGTGCGTAAAGTGTGTTTACACTTTGTCTGCGTGATTAAACGCAAATTTTGTGTGTAGGATGCGTTGATGTCAACCTGCACTTCCGGTTTATGATTTCTTTCATCTGCTCATGCACGTGGGGTCTCATAAGTCATACAAGTTATACTTTTTCTTTTTTGCTGCAATTCTTCTGCTATAACAAAAATCATCGTAGTATAATGGGTGTGACAGAACTTTTGGAACTCTGTATATGTTAAATGAACTGAAATAGTGACTCAAATTATGGCTAATTAAATTGACTATGTCATCTCAGAACAAAACTTCAAGTTGATTTAATCAGCCATCGACACTAGGAGGGTTAAGCTGAATGTTTTCTATATATATTAAAAGTTACTTCAGCCAATCAAAACTGAGTTTGCTTTGAAATGTTCTATCTGCAGATTTGTTACCTTTGTTGATATGCAAAAGGATTCCCAGCTTTTTTTTTCCTTTTTGCGAAAAATTGTACATCTTTTAATGCCCTTTTGCAACACTACAAGGTTTTTAAGTGGCTTTACTTTCAAGTTCATGGAAAATCTCTGATAGGACCGAGCCAAACTAAAGTATAAAGTGTGTCAAGTGCTTTTTTCCAAGGACACAACATCAGACCAAGCAGGGCCTCAGACATCTTCCACTCTCTCTAAGTGTACATGTGTATGGCTTTAAAGAAAGACAGCTTGAACCGGAACAAGATTGAAAAGATTGATAATGATGCAGACTTTGATATTTAAGAATTTTTTTTGTCCTGTGAAAAAATCTTCTCTGTGAATAACTCTGTAAGTTCATTTGCAGACATGTTGGTGGCAACAGTTTGACAACGTTGCCAGATGATGCCTTAAGCTGTATGGCAGACCTGGAAGAAATGTAAGAAGACTCACGAACATACATTTATTTCACACACTCTCACACACGTGCTCACATCTTCACAAACTTATGCATGCACCTTCTCTCTCTCTCTCTCCCTCCCTCCTTCTCTCCCTCCCTCACCCTCTCTCGTCGTCTCCCCCCCTCTCTCTCTCTCTCTCTCTCTCTCTCTCTCTCTCTCTCTCTCTCTCTCTCTCTCTCTCCGAGAAATGGGACTTTGACATCACTGTTTCTGGGGAATAACAGCTACTAGTATTTTTTTATATTTCATTGTTGTGGGTAAAGTTGGTAAAACTGCAGTGTCAAATACAACTTGATGAGATACGTTATATTTTATGTCAACTTTCAATAACCAGAGTTCAATCAAATCACCCCTGAAATTGGAGTTCCTTTCAGCAAATTCCAAATATAAGATTTCTGTTTCCTGAACTTGGTGTACAGTGGTTGTCTTCTGTTGTTGAACTGCTGTAAAAAAAAAATACAGCTGCTGAAGGTTTTATATGATGTTTTACAAGTTGAAAAATGAGAAGTACCACACTGCCTGCTATATTGAAACGTTAGACCACTCACACACAGGGGCAAAGGCCGACTTAATTCACAGTGTAATCGGAGCGAGACAAATCATAGAATAGAAGACACAAAGAGAAAGATACTGAATCTATTTTATTCCCTAAGTTGTCTGAGCACAACATATTGAGTATCGATATGATTATCAATTCCATCAAAATGAGGTATTTGCTTAGTATTGTCCCTGTTCACAAGATGCATTTTTTTCTTTTCTTTTCCAATAAAGTTGCTCTTCCCTGTTCTTCCGCACTATCTTTCTTTCTCTCTCTCTGTCTCTTTTTCTCTTTCTCCTCTCTAACTTGCAGACTCGCATGCCTGACTACACTCTCACACATGCACAAATCACCTTTACCAGTTTAATTCGATAGTCTTTACCATTGATATAATAATTTTTTATAAAATGAAATAACAATTTAATGCAAACATGGGTAATGCTTATCTCAATTTTTATTTGAAAAAAGAATACTACTATAATTTTTCCTTTTTCTTTACTTGTTAATTTTTTGGTGGAGTCAAATGTTTTGAACATTTTATTGATTTTTTTTTTGGGGGGGGAGGCAAATTTTTGTCCACCCCTTCTCGACATGTATGTCCAAGAGAATAATTCTTAAAGAAATTCAACCAGAAAGTATATTACTACTAGATCTAGTCTTCATTTTTGTTTTCTGACAGAAGAGTAGATAGGAGCCACAATGGTTTTGGGGAGATTTGCGGATGGGGAAGGGGGGGGGGGGTAGTTATTGATATTGGAGGGACGTGAGGAGGAAAATCTGATTTCATTTGATTTCTTAAACTTTCAAAACTTTGACTCTTCTTTTGAATCTATACCATAGATTTATTTCCGAAGGTGAAATAAGTTTTGAAAATTAATTTTTAGTATTTTTTTTAGTTTGTGTAAGTCTTTTTGTCTAATGTTTTTGTTCTTTTTTCGTGTTACTTTTTTCTTGACATTGTTCCTAGAGCAGTGGGAAGTAGATGCATGACAAGTTATACTCATTGTGCTTTGTACTTCGGGTTTTTTTCCTCAGAAAGTTGAATAACTGTGATCTCACTTCCTTGTCTGCCAACACCTTTTCCTCCAACGCATTAATTCAGTACATGTAAGTGAATGGACATTTTTTTGTTTTTTGTGTGAAAGACATGAAACTCCATAGAGGCCTTATATAAAAAGATGATGGTATCAGTTGAATTTCTGAAAATCCAGTAAACTGTTTCAGTAAAAATCTGTGAGTATGGTATTAGAGAGAAGGAAAAAAATTGGAAATAAGGATGAATGAGGACATGAGAGATTTAAAAAAAGTGAGGCAACGTCGGAATAATATAATATGCATGTGAGTTTTCATTTTTTGGGTTTTCATGAACACATGCATATTATGTGCATGCATCTGTGTGTTAAGGAGATAAAAATGAAAGATTAAGAAGTTAAAACTTCAACTGATCTCCTTTTTCTGTTTTCTATAGCATTTGTGGAAAGCATAATATCCATTATGACTTTTTGTAATGAATCACTCTTGTTTTTCTGGGACCAGTGATCTCAGTAGCAACAGATTGACCTCCCTTCCTTCTGGATTGTTTGATGGACTGGACAACTTGAAAGAAATGTAAGTTTTGAATTCATGTTTACATTACATGCTTTTTGTTTGTTGTATTAGTCTTAAATTAGTCATTGGATTCATACAGATTCATTACCCATTGTGACAATGGACAAATATTTCGGGATTTTTTTTCTCTATCACTTTCCATGACCTGCGCTGTATAGTAGAAGTAAAGTATTGACAAAGCCAACAGCAACTGGAGATGAGATATAGTTTCTTTCAGGTTTCAATGAACTGTTTGAAACTAGCTACGTGTAATGCTTTGAGAGGGAGGTCGACTTATATACCATTTTGTATCATACTAAGAAATATAATTGTTCATTTTTAAGACAAAATAAGCAATACGTTATTGTTCTCCTTTTTGCAAAAGTTTTCTCTAATTTTCTTTAAATCCAATCGTTCAAGTCATTTTCAGAGTTTATATGTCATGCTATATGTATATGATGTATGTATGGTTCTTTTTCTTGGTTTTGAAAATTTAGTTATTATCTTCGTAGAAACCTGTCTGGGAATGACTGGAGCTGTGACTGCAGCCTGATATGGCTCCGGATATTCCTGGATTCCTTTGTCGCTGCAGGTGGTACAATTGTGGATGAAGATCAAACTCTGTGTAGCAGGGATCCCAGCAATCCGTTGAGAATGACGCGTATATCTGCTTTTCAGATCTGTAAGTACAAAGGAATGTAGTTTATGTTAGTCTATGTGATTTGCTTTTTCGTCTTTTTAATTTTTTAGATGTGTTTTCTTTAAAATGTAGAAACTCTCTTGTTAGCATGCATTTATGTGTTAGACTTAAGTCCTCAAACTAAGATCAGTGGTCAACTTATAATGAATTAAATGATGATAGAGAAGTATGTTTCTGAAGCTTGACTGCTTCAATAAAACAATATTTATGAACGTGTTTTCAGCATTGTATGCCTTCTGATAAAATGCAAATCATTGAAATTTTACAATTTTACAAATTCACACATCTTAGTCATTAGTTTTCTTTGTTTGTATTTAATTTACTCAATGCACGAACATGATAATATGTGACTGCATGGACATAAAAAAATCTCAGTTTTATATTGTTTTAGATTTTCTTTCTTTCCAAAAACAGATGTTACATATTTATACACTTCCCAAAAAATTCACAAGTTCATGCAACCAGAAAATTTGTCTTTCCATGCCTGTCTCTCTCCTTGTCTCTCACACATCATGCACCAACACATTCTGATTCTCTCTCTCTCTCTCTCTCTCTCTCTCTCTCTCTCTCTCTCTCTCTCTCTCTCCCCTAATGCCTGCATGAATACACTCATTTTTCTACAAACGCACAGCACAAAGAATGCATACTCACACACACACTCACACTTTCACACATTTGCACACAATAAACATATTATATGTGCACATTGAAATACAGAGGTGTCCAGCCATAGTACCCTTGTATCTCTATTGCTTATGAGTGTTAATTTTAATGTCAGACTGTCATCTTTCCCAGTACTCAAAAGGGAGAGGGAGACATACCGTACATACTTTAATGTTGGAATTCCCTTCAGCATGCTGCTTCTTTGCTTCACTTCATCCGCATGGATTGCTTTTCTATTCTTGCTATATTTTTTCATGGCATGAAATAATTCAACTAGGCTAAAATCAAGAGACCTATCTACATCATGAAGTAGATTTCACTGTAATAATTAACTGGTTTTGTCCAGTAGGGCGTTACACTTTTACATCGAAAAGAATAGTATTCATTAGTTGCTTGTCCAAGCTGAAGCTTCCAACACAGATGTTATATGGTCTTGTTTCTGCACTACAGCTTCACATATAAATTTAGAGGCTTAAAAGATGAACAACAAAAGAGATCAAATAAGATTTTATTGATCATTGCAAAGAGAAATTTACTCACACAAGCACTCGTCAACACACACACACACATGCATGCATGCACGCACGTACGCATACACGCAAGCTCTCTTTTTCTCTCTCTGTCTCTCTCACACACACACACACACACACACACACACACACAAATACACATGTACACACACACCTGCACGAACACATGCATTCACATATACAGATGCACTCACATGAGTAAGTGATACAGCTCTCAAAGCTTGGAGTAGAAAGGAGCAGAGTGTGACTTGCAAAATAGTTTGAGTTCTGTGTAAACCTCTGATTCAGCTCACTGTCTTATTGTTAATAATTCTGTTAATATGTGTGTGTAACAGTGTATTTTTGTAGTATTTATGAAGGTTGACCAGGTAGTGTGTGATTAGTACTTATGATTACGTGGCTTAGTTTTGTGGTTGACTCTTTTTAGTGGTTGACTATGGAAACTAACATTGTTTGTGTTATGTCATTCTTAACCATCAGTTTTAGCATGTTGAAATAGATGTGTTCCTTTCAAGAAAGACTAGCAGAGTAGAGAATGTTTTTCCTGAGAACTTATAACATGTGGACACACTTTAGAATTTAGTTCTATAACTTACCTTCTTAGGTCTTTTAAATTTTGTTCCAAAGTTCTAGATTTTCAGATTTAACATGGCTTGTAAGCGAGGAAACGTTTCCAGTGCTGAGCACTAAGGGTCAACTAGCTATGTATGTTTTCCCCGTACTAAAACAAAGATCTTCTAACATTAGAGAGATTGTGTTAGCAATGGGTTTTGTGATCTTTACCTAATGTCTGAGTGTTAACGTGGGTAACTGGTTTTGAGGAAGACTTGAACAGAGAGAATAGGAGCTGAGCAATTTACACATATCTTTGTAGCTGTCGTTTCTAATATAAAAAGGACTTTGAATTGGGTTGGACTTCCGGAAAGGAAAGGGGGCCCTTTTCCCTTGTTTGAAAAAATAGTTGTTCGCTCAACATCAGTGTTACTGTGATTTTATGGGCCCCTACCTTTCCCACCAATGGAGTCTGTGTCAGGGGAGATTAATATATATACCATGAATCAGCTTGATGATGACACACGTTTCTAATCTCCAAGCGCAGAGTATGGTGATTACAGGGCCATAAATGAGTTGGAAGAAGCATACCATTCCAGAACACACACCAAGGACCTTGTGAGCAAGGAAATTGAGGGGGGTGGAAAGGAAAGACATTAAGTTTAGTCAAAGCTGTGAGAAAGGCCATGTTGGAAAAAATATTTAATCTTCCCTAAAAAATAATGCTATGTCTGTGTCGAATCATGATTTGCGTCTATTCTCTTGCTGTGTCAAGCTCTATTTATAGCCAAGGGTGCAATTATTCTTTATAGATATTCCACATTGTTTTTGTCTTTTAGATACAGTTTGTATCGTCACTATTCAGAAACCTGTTTTCCCATGTGTGACTTTGTAAGCTTTTCATCAACTACATGCTGTGCTGTGCAATCCATCAATTATGAGTCCACCAAATTACGCATGCTGACTGAGCTAATATCTTTACCTCCCCTGTGTGCATGAAATATCCGTTTACTACTCAGCCCTTTGCGCAGCAGAACAGGAAAGGCTGCAGCGAGATAAAAGATCCACTTTCAATCTGGGCACGGCCCTGGACTGGGTTTCTGTCTGCCCGAATTGGCACACTCTGAATGCCAATATTGTGTGTGGTGAGTTCTGACTCTCAGATATAGGCGCCAGTCTGCCTCTGCTGTAACATCACATGGCTTTTTGTTTTCTTTTTTTCTTTTCACCTACCCATTTGAACAATGATGTATGCACCGCAATCATATATATTTCAATACATGCTTAATATAGTGAACTCATTCGCACATTTACTGTGTCTTTGCATTGCACATATATATTGAGTACTTATCATTTTTATTTGTATTTATTGAACATCTTGTTATGTACATTTTCACTTACCTCACATACAAATGGTGTTTAATTGTTTTCTTCTTTATAACATGCACATGATATTGTTTATGTTTTCAGTTTTCCTAACCGTTGTACTTTTTTCATAAGCAGCCTATTGTAAAATTATTTTGCAGATTTGTTTAATCTTTTTTGCACAATATTTCTGTCATGGTTATTTCTACCTCATCCTTTTCAGATTATACATGTTGTGACTTTGTTGTGCTTTCAATATAACTTTAGTGTAAAAGTTAAGATCAATTATTTAAAAGAGCGTACTCTTTGTACCGTGCAGCAGCTGAAAATATGAAATTATGCATCATGTTTTGACAGGAGCTCTTTTATAGTGAGTGTTCAAATCGATCTTTAAACTATTTAAATTATGGTTTACGATGGTAAAGCTCAAGATAATTTGGAAGATGTTGCAGGGACGTCTTATTAATGTCGATATGTGAACACTTTGACCCCCCCCCCCCCCCCCCCACCCCTCACCCGCCTTTTTAACATCGATTGTTCATCAATGTTATCAAAAAGTCAAAACATAGTTGAACTGACTTGATATGTATGATTGCAATTGCTTCTGATAGCTATAGTCAACTATAGCAATGTTCATTCTTAGCTCTCCGTTTGTGCAAGGTGTATCTTTCAAATTAATAGATGGCTTTCTCTTAGGGTAACACATATCATCATTGCTCTTTCTAGCATTTTCTTCACCCTTTTCAAATGTGAAATCTTTTGCTTGTGAGATTGATGCCTGAATGAATACTTTGTCAATATTTTTGTTATCTCATATATAGTGAACAAAGAGGAAGAATTCAGTAATATTGCATACTTTACTTTACTTTACTTTTCCGATCCAGCAGCCATTTGGATTCTAGCCCTTCGGTCTGTCGATATGGCAAAGAATTGACAGGTTTTAGTCAGCTGTGCTTTGTCGCTGTATAGAGTGTTTCCGATAACATTGTATACCAATCTCTTGTTTTGTTCTACAAACATACACTCATACACAGCCTCTGCTCTTACGTTCCTGAAGTGAAAAATGCCCCTTTAATAGAGAGGGGTCTGAGCATAAAGATGAAAGAAACAAAAAATATTTTGTCAGTACTATTGCTCCAAAGGAAGCCATTTCACAAGGCCACAATACCAGCGGACCAACTTTTTTGTCTGGCCTGTTTATGCCATTCTCTCCACTGTTAATGGATTATGCCCTGAACTAGAAACACGAGCTGCTAAGTTGTTGACAGTTCAGATAATCTCAGATCTCTTGCATACCTTTCAATGCAACTCTGAAAACTGGTTGCCTTGAAAGTCCCTCAGATTGTTGAATTCTGTGCTCTTCTTAAGAATTGCATTTATTTTTTAGACATAATGCCATACATGTATTTTTAAAATTTCGGTTAACCTCGTTTCTTTAGTTTAACATTGTTTAACCTTTCTTCTTTTCAAGGGGTTTTATTTGATGGATTATACTTTGGGGAAAATAGTTGTACATAAATCTATAGTATTATGTGCATATGAATTATCGAATGATTGGCGTGAATTATTTCACTGGGGGGAAGGTTAACACACTCTTCTATTAATATTAATGTGTTTTAATGGGGGGAAACTTCGATTTTGTAAAATGCTTTTGAAAACATTTGTCGTTGGAGTGATGAATTTTGCTTTGAGAAAATTAATGTCCTGTAGGTAGATACGTTTCAATTTTGTGCCCAAAGAATAGTTGCTTATCAGCTCCCCATGGCTTATAGTATTCTTTTTGAATGGCTTCATTTGTACTAGTTTCTGTTTCATTGACTCGTTTTATTTAGTGACTGATTCATTGAAGCGAAATGTTTCAAACTGGGTAAAGGTAACTAATTTCTGTCTGTTTGGGCTTTTTTTTCGCTTTAATTATATCCTCTGTGAATGCGTCTTTTTTTTTCCTCATTCCCCATATGTCTGTCTGTCTGGTGCCCAATTTTCTCTTCTTTGAATTTTACTTTGTTACTATCTTTCTGTCTTTTTTTTTTATGTGTGACCGAAATGACTACCTGATTTTCCTTTGAGAAAGTTAAAATCTCTTTTACTTCGAACGTTGTCTTGTGAATTAAAGTATCTTCACTGCTTTGAAACAAGTCCTTTCGTTTCTTTGCGTAGACTGTTTTTCCATTGATCAAGTGAAAAATCTTTATTCAGAGAAAGAAGTTCAAAATGTATCTAAAAAGAGTGCTCCTCGGACGCTTCCTCTTTGATGTGATCTCTTCTGGGTAACGTCAATACTGATCAGTTCTCTTTATTTTCTCTGTCCCTTCCCCCCCCCCTCCCCCATTTTTTCCCCACTTGTGTGACCCTCTGATCAGGTCCTAGGAAAGCAGGGTCATGTGTCTACGACTTTGCCAGTGAGAGCTACAAACTCATCCAGTACAGCTCTTGGGTCTCCTTCGCCACAAGCACACCGGAGTGCAGGGACCTATGCTACCTCAGCGGCTACAGCTATTCCGTGTTTGACCCTGACGTCGCAGAATGTCTTTGCGGCAGCGTCGTGTCTTTGCCAGCAGGCTGTTCCGATTGTGGTGGCTCAACTAGCTCATTGGGCCCTGGGCTGTGTAGCAATGAGTACAGCAACATCCTTGGTGCTGTTGGGATGATGTACGACTTCAGTATTACCTACTCACCAACTTCTCCGAATGTCTTTGAGAAAGTTTACTTTATGTGGAGCGGGGGTCCTTTAGGGATTAACGGATCTGAGTGGGATTTTGGAGATTCAACTACCACATCAGTATTGAGTACATCCACCACATCACACACCTTCACCTACCCTGGGCAACGACAAGTTACGTTGACGTTGCACATAGCTAGAGGAACAGCTTTGCAGGAGACGATGGTGTCTGTGCCAGTAGAAGTTGGGTCCAGGTCTGATCTAGGTATCCTCAATTGCCCACTGTCCGATGTCAGCACCTACATTCCCCAAAATGTGTCAGCCACTTTCACGTCTGCTTGGAGACAAAAAGTTTCCTGGACACGAGAAGCCCAGACAACGAGCAACAGCCAGTACAGTTACTCGTACAATTACTGTAAGTATCTTTAATATTTGGTTAGGAGATTTGAAGATAACTGCCTCAAATTTGTGACATGAGACATATTGTCTTCTTACATAACTGTTTATATGTTTGTGATTTTGTGATTTTGCTCTGTTGTTGGATTAATTTGAAAAAAGGGGGATTGCAGGCTGATGAATTTCATTGTTTGCTTGTTTTGTCTGTTTGCCTTTTTAAAAATCTTTCAATTTTCTTATTACACAGTCTTGTCTTTATGACATCATGGGGATTTTTTAATACATGTAAGCACTTCTGTCTATAATACATCATGAGGTGTCTAACGTTTTTGGTTATTGAAAAGAAAAATTATTTGTATTGGACCTAATAGACAAGGTTTCATATTTCAGATGCAGACTCTGGTGTTGAAACTGATGGTACTACACATATATATATCATGCTCTCCCTCCCTCCTGTCAACTGTATTGTTTGCCACTCTGTTCCCCAGTCTACCTCCCATTCACACCTCTTTTCAGACTCATGCATCTTTTTTTCTTTAAAAGAAATGCCAGCTTTTTCAAAAGAGTTCAGTTCAGAGGTTTTCAGACATTCTTCCCAGTGTGATTAATGCATTCCCTTTTCATAGTTTGTAAAATGTATTGTAGCTTATGTGGGTATGAAAATATCAAAATTAATTATATCAGACAAACGTCTGTATGAGAATACCTGAAGTCTCAACAGTGATTCTCATTAGTCAATCAGTTATCCTGCTTAACTCTTAAAGGACTGAATGGACACATATTATGTCCAATCTGCAGGAGACCAAAGAAAATGTTGTGACACATTTCAAACCTATGTTCGGAAACCAGAAATACGAAATCGAATATTTCAGTGTTCATTTTGTTTCCTGCTTTTTAAACTTTCAAATAAAGAAAATAAAAATGGAGAAAAAAAATGTCTGAATAACGAAGTTATGCTTCTGTTGAGCATTTGAATGACTAGAATTAGTCCCCAATTAGTCAACGCACTGAAATGTTCTTGCTGAGTGGTGAACACACAACATTTAGTGGGTTAATGATTACTCAGATTTTACCTATGACATCTTACAAAAGATTACTAACTGTTTGTGGCATATTTCTTTACGAAAAGAATGTTAATTATGCCATTTCTCGTGTGTCTCTTTATATAAGATGCCCTTTAAATTTTGGTTGCTCCTAACTAAAGGTATCTTTTAAAATGTTGCTTGAAGTGTTTGATAACACTCTGTTTTTATTCTGCCTCTTGTCATTTGAGTATTACCTTCTAGATGGTTTTCTCACTGTCAAAATGTATGTTAAGAAGAAACATGACTCTAGTTGTCTGTTTTCCTGTGTCTACCTCTCAAGAATGCAGTGATTAACTTTGTAATCCTCCCAGTGTCCAATTTTCACCCAATACTTTGAAACAGTTGCATCAACTACCGGTAGCTCTTGACTTAAGAGATGAATTTGAACATGGGGTTTCTATCATGAATTGATTGCCCACTTTGTAATCATCTTTATGTGTGATGAATTGTCTTGCACATATTAATATATTCATTGGAACTGCCACAAAGACATTCATGAGATCATGCGTCTGCGAGTTTTCATCAAATGTTTTCATGCAAAAGCATTTACTGGCCAAAGAGACTGATGTCCAGTATAGCTAAGCAGAAATTTGTCTTTTGATCAACTTCTGCCTTTGCAATTATGGAGAGAATGTGTGAGGCGTCATGGTGAAATCAGGCGCTCGTCAAAATAATGAAAGTAAAGAAACTGACACTTTGACTCTTGTGTTTTACTTTTTTTGGAAATTTTGTTTTTGGGCTCAACACCTTCTGTGTCCATTTAAGAACCCAATTCAGTGTGAATTATGTTGAAAAACATTGATTCAAGGCACAACAAATGTAGATTATCAGTTTCTGCAGACTCTGAGGCTTTGTAAATAACCAAATTTTGGCGGCCATTTTGTCACTAATTTTACCTCTGAAACCAGGCGACTCTCACCTCATTCAATCACAAATATCTTGACATGTATTCAAGATGAATGGGTAATTCTTTCATAGAAAGCAAGACAAATGAACAAGCTTTAAGGTGATACCAATAACTCCACATGGCCAAAGATTGACGAACGCCTGATGCCACAGTGTCATGACATATATGATGATAAATGTGTATCAAAATTTTCAAACGTTGCTCGGAATTCTTTGAGGTCTCTTTTCTCCTCAGCAAACCTCTTTAGGAGTGAGAAGTTAAAATTCCCAACAGAATACGGTAAAAATATTAATAGAGGTATATGTGAGAAATGCCATCATGAAAAAAAAAGAGCTATTGATGCCCTCTACTAAACGTCTTTGACATATGATTATAAAGCAGTGATCATGATGTATCTACTTTGCTATAGCTGTGACTCTTACGTTATAGCATAATTTTTATAGACCAGAGGGAATTAATACTTTACGTTTGTTTTAAGTTTTAGCATGGGGGTTGAAATAAGTGAATTCAAAGTTTTGATAATGCTCAATTTATAGTCAGCTACTAACCTCCCTAGAAGTGAGATATTCATTTGTCCATTTACATGAATAGTATGAAATGTATGTTGGTATAAAAATGTATATTATTTCTGTGAGTGGGATACAAAGAGGAAGGAGAGGATGACAGAAGAAAGAAAGAGAACAGAGAAAGAAAGTTCTCGAAAGTGACCAAAAAATATAAGCAGCGGAATTGGGGATAAACGACCAAAGTGTGCTTTATATAGAAAAAGTTAGCAACTATCACATGTTCTGTTTGTTGTGAAATAATATTTGTATCACCTGTTTTGTTTAGTCTTAGTCATCTCCTCGACCATTATAAGAGAAGCATTGTTGCTTAAAGGCACGGAAAGTGCTCTGCTGAAGTATTTTACTTTTGTGTTTTATTTCCTGTGTTGGTCTACTGTAAGACAACATTTTAATGGTCCAAATGTTAATTCAATTACTCCTTTTATAACTCTGATGTTCAGAAAGTGTGAATATGCTTCGCATGCTTCTTATTTCAGCACGCTGTGAACCGGGTTGGCAAACTTTCAGGGGCCGTTGTATTCAGATGCAGAGTTCACCAACAGTAATGTCAGCTGCACACACAGCATGTCTGGCCAAAGGAGCGAAACTTCTGCGGCTCCACTCTATGGATGAAATCGATGCACTCCGTTCAAACAATTCTCTGTTCCCCTCAGGAGCTGGTGCGTAAAAACTCTTTTTGATTTGAGTGTTTTTACGTGTATTCTGGTACTGTCAGGATGCTGGGGGCTGGAAGAGTGGGGATTGTTGAATTGATTCTCCTGAAATATAGGGCACTGTCGATTCGCAATAGAATATCCTGTCTTGTGGGTGTGCCCTTGAGCAAGCCACTTGACCCTCCACTACAGAACAAGGATTTACACTGCTTTATTCAGTTTAGTGTGCTTTTAAGTAATGATGCTTTAATTTTTTTATCTCTTTGTATAGGAGATGTGTAGTCTATAATGCCTTTGCACATCCTGTTGTAATACAATTAATGTCTAAAATCAAAGAATTAAGGGGTTTTTTCATGTGATGTTTTTGTTAGTTTTGCTATTCCAGACACTTCTGTCATAGTTTGTCCAGGTTTACAATAACATTTATTTTCCCAAGGTTGCTTAAGGGTATCACTTGGTGGCACAGAAAGAGAGAGTTACTATTAATTAGAGCCTGTGCTCCCATTTTGTTATTGATTTTATACCTGTTTCAAATACTCTTAAAACATTCTCTTTTTTCAATAGGAGCCTCCTATTTCACTGGGGCTGAGTGGAAAGCTTCACAAGAAAGATATGAGTGGAGATTTTCATCGACAAACGCTTTTGTGTTCCGAGACACTTTAACCTCTGCCTCTGCTGGAGACTGTGTCGTCATACAAGCATCTGGACTTTCAGGGGAGGATTGTGGCGTGTCTTTGCCGTACATTTGTGAGAAAGGTGAGAGAGAAGTGAACCCCTTTTATTTCACTTTCAAGCTTGTATTCAGTGTACTTTGATTACATACAGTAATTGTACAGGGCATTCTGAAAGTATATGTCCAATACTTTCCTGATGTAATAAATAGCTACAAAGGACACTGTAGCAGGGATGTAATGTCTGTTTGAATAAATGTGAGAGGCGTCGACATAATAATTTATTTCTCGCAATTCACGGATGGACATGTCGACTGAAAATCGGCACATCAAATTTGTAGTTTTTCAAATGATGGCATTTTTTCTATGTTTAACTTGTCTGTTATCATTTCATTTAATAAATTGTACAAACCCAACTTGTAAATTTGAAGTGTCTATGTCCATCCAGCTAAAATCCAAGAAGTAATTCATTTTGTCCACATGCCTGACAAATGCTCATTCGTTGTCTAATATGTGTAAATGATATGAATTTGTGTTAGTGGTAAATCTCTGTGCTTTACATTGTTAAAAAAGGCTAAGTTGTTTTTCCCATTTTTTCCTTGAGACAATTTTCTGTTCGTATGTGGCACTATGTTTTATATAATGATAACTTGAAAGCAGGAGATATTCTAAAGAACAGCATTCGTCCTTCTTATGTTGTGGACCTTAACCTCCTGTCCTTAAATTCCAGAGCCAAGTTCCTGTGTGCAGAATGGTCAGCCAAATAGTAAACTGTGTTATGCGGTCAGCTCTGAGAGTCTGTCCCGCCCACTAGCTGCCATCAGCTGCCAATCAAACTACACCAACGGGCAATTGGTCACAATTGCAGATATCAACGATAATTCATATCTGAAGTTTCTTTTGTCAAAGTAAGCCGTTATTATTATTTTTTTTTAATGACAGGCATTGCTCTTACTGTACTTATCTTCCTAGTCTTAAGTTTGTTTGAAGCCTTGACCTTGACATACCGTGCCTGCTTACACTTTACAGTAATTATTTTTTGCAATATTAGTCCTTTTTTGGTATCTTTTAAAGTCACCTTGGTTGCTGCTATGAGATGAATAAAGTAAACCTAACAGACTCTTTTGTTTTCCTCAAAAAGTGCTTGCCAGTTCTAAGATATGTGAATACAAAATACTTTTGAAGACTGTGATCTTTGCTTCTGATATAAAAAGATCCCTTCTGTAGCAGGGGGTGGCTTTTGACCAGAATGGTTCGTTATGAATGTATGCACAAATGTTCTTTGTTATACATCCCTTTCCATAAATGGGTAATATAAATTTGAAATCCTACTGCAAAACAGTTGAAGATCAAGTCTTGCAAATATGCTTTTAGTATATGCCTGTGCATGTTCGCGTCTGTATATGTATATGTGTTCTGGAAGTATTAATGTTAAAACATCCAAGGAAGTGATTAAATCAAGCTCAAGGTTGACCGGAATCTGCCATTTTGGGCTCCGTGATATTGAAAGGATCACTGACACTTAGGGCATTTTGTAAATATGGGTCCCTTATTTGTCTTTTTCTTATCAGAGCATCAGTGGACACAGTATGGATCGGGTTAGAAGCCAGCTTTTCAGAGAACATCTACACCTGGGATAGTGGTCAGCCCTTGACTTTGTACAGCAATTGGGACTCTGGATTTGGTGCAGAACCGTGTGTGGTGATGAATGCCTCCACTGGTCTCTGGCAAAAAGATCTCTGTGACAGCTCTCATCACTTCATCTGTGAATACTTTGTTGGAGGTAAGTTTTCTTTTTGTCTTATGGCTTTTCTGTTTCATATGTAAATATTGAAGGACGTGAAATCTTCTCTTGTGTGTTGGATTTGAATTCTGCATCATCCCTACACTCACTCGGGACCAGCCCTATTTTCGGGCACAAACCCTTCGGACCGGGGTCTTTAGAAAAGATTATTTAGTAGTGTTGTAGTTGGGTTACAAAGCTGAAAATTGATACACTTACAGATACAACCTTTCTGAACACAGTGCACTTGGCAAAATATTCTACGTGGGGTACTTTTTCTTCCTCGATTTGTCAAAAACTTTGAGAATTTCAAAAAAACATTTTCAGCATCCATGATACAACCCTGGTTATGTTTTTACCTATATTTGCTGGAAAAAGACCCTAAAAGTAAAGAATGATAGCTGTTATTGTGCTATGCTTGTGTATGCTTGGAATTCTGGTGAAAAAGAGACTACATTCTTCATCAAAATTAACATGGTTAGCACAGACAGAGGTTTCGAAGAAAATATGAGAGGCCACGTGAAAACGCAAACAAAACATATATATATGTATTCACAAACATGCAGTTTGACTCACCAAAGGCTTGTGTATCCAATATGTATATGCTTCAGTAATCCAGGGGGCAGGGGGTTTAGTTAGAGTACTCCTTCTTTGTGTGGAAGTCCTGAAAGCAGGGCACCACACACAGGGGTACTTTGTGGTATGGGCACCAGAACGACGTTTCTTTCTGCTTCATTGTGGAGCCCGGTTGCTTCGCCTTCTCGTAACACACCTTGCAACTCCGGGTGGGACATTTCTTTTTCACGGTTGAAGGAATGTAATCCGAGAAGCAACGTGAGTGCAGGCGGTCAAGCTGTGTGGGAGCTGGGTCCTCGGAATCACCTTCCTGCCAGCCCAAGAATTCCTCAGGCATGCCCTGTCCAAGCTTCTTGATGAACTTGGAGATTGGCTGAGGCTTCCCACCTGTCGATGTCTGTTTCCTGTTGTACAGGATGGATGCTTGCACCATCATGAGGGTAAACAGATGGACATACAGTTTTTTCCACCATTTCATGGTGCGGCAGTGGAAGGGCTTATAGGCCATGAATTGATCGCTACGGTCTACACCCCTCATGTTGAGAGTGTAGTCCTGGACCACCTCCGGTTTCTCCTTCGTCTGGGCCCTTGATCTGACTGTCACCCTTCTCCGTGGGTTATGCACAGTCGTCAAAAGGTTGACAGACTTTTTATCTTGCCAACGGAGGGCCACCAGTTTATCCTGCCGTCAGTAGGCACTCTCCCCAGTTTTTAGATTCAGGGTTGCCAAATCCTTCGGCACACCCACATGATTGGCTCTTACTGTCCCAACAATCATGGTGTCGCCTGCAATCATCTCATGGTACAAAGCTGGGCATGTGTAGTACTTGATCCCCCACTTGTTTGGCTTGTGTTTCATGCACACCCTGTTTCCCCTCCATGGGCAGATGGCTTCATCAATGACGAGTTTCTGTCAAGGTGTCACGAGGTCTCGGAATGTTGCAGAAAGGTGATCAGTAATTGGTCGCAGCTTATGGAGAGGGTCGTGACCAGTTTTTCTGAGGGGCATGTACATGGTGTTGTTGTTTAGATGCAGGAGGCCAAGAATCTGCATGAAACGGTTCCTCGACATTATATTGGGGGCGAACGATGTGCGGATAATTTCTGCTGTACTCCAGTAGTCCTTGAGACTGGGTTTCTTGACGAATGACGTATGCACCCAGACGGAAAAAATCCACAGGTGTCATTAAATTATCTGGAACGTGCATGCAGGGCTGCCCAGTAAAGGGGACCCCAGGAGGAAACCCAGTCATATCCTCAGTCCAGTCACCTGTAGGTGCAGGTGCCACATCACCAGACGGATACATGCGTTTAGATGGCGGTCCCGCATACGTTAATGGTCCTGGGTTGGCATCATCATTGTCCTCATCAGGACCTGAAAGTATAAACACGAATGTTCGAAAAATTTAGACGACACAAAATAACAGAGCATCAATTTCAATTGTTTAATGCTTGCCTGAGTTAGAAACAGAATATGAAAATTCACATCTAGATGTAAATAAGTGCAAGGATACAGGACCTTGGACTGACACAATAAATCTTAGTCTGGACCTGACCTGATACTAGGGAAGGACTTTAGTTCTTGATCTAGACTCTAGTAGAAGAAATTAGCTTCGTAGGGATTCACAAGCACAAAATAGCCTAAATCTAGATTTCTAGATCTGTACTTAAATAAAATAGAACCTAATCTAGATCTAGATTGTTATGTTTGTCATGATGAAATGAGGTACAAGAAGTAAACACACAAAGTAGGCGTGGCTTTGTTTACTTCTGGAAAGTGATAGATCTAAACTTGCTCCATCAAGAACGAAATTCTCTCCTCAGTCGTGATAGTCAGTCCCGAGATGCAATGACAACTCCCTATTATCGCCAAGATGTAAATATTTCTCACCTGAATCCAAAAATTCCTCATCAGAATCAGTTTCTTCAACATCGCAGTGGAGCGTCTGGAAGAACTCAATCACTTCTGTAGCCTTTTTTCGCTGTGGTCGAGGCATGATTTCATGTTGATCAAAATAACAACTTCAAAATCTCCCTCATTCGTTGAGAGTCACTCTTCCTTAAGTCACCGGAAGAAGGAATGGATCGAGTAACCGGATATTGCAATAAACATGGATAATATATGGGATTGGACGATTTTTTGCATTTTTATTCTCATAACTTGTGATTGGTCCCCAGCAAGTTTTAAAAGGCATACCAGGAGGCTACATTCCAGTCGGCACATTGTCACTGGCCTGTTTCATGTTGACCTGTGAACTCTGTAGCCATTAGTGGTCAAAGTTCCAGGAATAACAATTGTATACCAAAATTCCACCTAATAAATTAATGTAGGAGGCATTGTCAGAGAAAACACGCAACACTGTTGCTTTTACATCTGATTTAGCTCTTTGTTGTACATTGAATGGGCCAGTAAGCATGAAACATGTCATTGTGTAAGCTTTCAAATTTTAAATTTTATTTTAATGTGAAGCACCTCGAGCCACCAGAGAGTTTGCACTATAGAAGTAATCTTCATCATGGTTATTATCTGGAGATGTTTAAAGTTTTATGACATTTTTGTTTTTAATTAGCATAAAACTTCCGAGTAGAGGATAAAGATTTAACTCTTAGTATACAGAAGGTTAATTCACTTTTGTGCGCAGTCATTGTTGTCTACGAAGTTTTCATTATCCCAATAACTTTTCTTCTATTTAACTGGTTTGGACCAGACTGAGTAGAAATGAATGATCCAAGCAATAAGCTTACAAATTGATTATAGGTTAAATGAATTTCCTGAAGTTTGATAGATTGTTGCTATGACTGTTAAGTGAGCGATGCTGTGAACCAGCTGAACTGGTGCGCCATATAATAAGAGTTATTGCATGACAATAGTGCTTTGAAACGTATTTTGCGTGCAGCATCCTGTTCAGATTTGTTTTTGATTCATGTGTGTGAATTGAGGGTAAAGATATTGACTGGACCATAATTCCATCACCTTCCTACTTTGTTTTCGTATTATAGCAGTTCTTTATCAAGTTATTTGATACTTGAACATATAGTAAAACATGAATAGGTCGAACACAGAAGTATCAAAATCATATGTCTGTTGAACTGTGCCAGGGGTCCCGGGTTTTTTTTCTTCTTCATCTTTCTAAGATATCCCTCGAACTAATGAGGTCGGTCCGGACAAATTTGAGCTGTCCGTGATTTACTTTACATATTTATACCAACATCTGAAATGAGCCTGCAGTTTTCTGTCATTTCATGTTCATGAAGTCATGGTTGTATAGTTCACTCAGAGATTTATGATTCAATACCCTGCTCTGTTTTTCTCGACCAGATGAGATCAACATCCCTACCCTGGTGGCAGGAACCGTTCCTTTGATGTTGAAGGATGCCATTCCTGTGTCAGTGTCTGAGTCAACGACTGTCAACACTGTGTCCTCCTCCGTCATTACCATCATACCAGGTATTTATTTGTAGCTGAAACAATAGATTGACGTCGTCCCCCGTGTTCTGTCTGTCTCTCAGTGTATCCTTCCTCTGTTTGTCCCTTTTTTTCTGACTATTTGTCTGTCTAGCTCTGCCTTTCTTTCTCTCTCTATCTCTCTCTATCTCCCTTACTTTGTCTGTCTGTCTGTCTGTCTGTCTGTCTGTCTGTCTGTCTGTCTGTCTGTCTGTCTGTCTGTCTGTCTGTCTGTCTGTCTGTCTGTCTGTCTGTCTGTCTGTCTGTCAGTCTGTCTCTGTATCTGTCTGTCTCTGTATCTGTCTGTCTGTCTGTCCGTCTGTCTCCCTCTCTCTCTTTCTCTCTCTCTTTTTCTCTCTCGCTCTCTCTCTCTCTCTCTCTCTCTCTCTCTCTCTCTCTCTCTCTCTCTCTCTCTCTCTCTCTCTCTCTCTCTCTCTCTCTCCACCACTTTTTTCTGTCATCTATCTTAATCTCTCTCTTGGTATTCCTTTATCATCTAATGTCTGTAATCTCTCTGCCTTCCCTTTGCGTTTTGCTTTTGCTTTTTCTCCTTTCTCTATTTACTAATCCATTTGCCTTTTTCTGTATCTATCCAACTGTCTGTCTCTCTGTTTATTTTAGTCTTATCTATCTGACTGTCTGTTTCTTTTAGTCCTTGCCATCTATTTATTTATCTGTTTCTTTCTGTCTGTCTGTCTGTCTGTCTGTTTGCATTTATGTCTGCCCATCTATCTGTCAAGCTAACAGGTCAGTAATTAATATGTTTCCAGGTTCATGGATTGCTGACCAGGGCTATGCTTCACTGTGGATTGTCCAAACAGAGAGTGTTGCCTCTGAAACTCAAATCTTCCTTCAAATTTGGAGACCTACATGTACATACGGAATTTTGCACAGACCAGGTGACTATTTACTTTTGTAGACTTGCGGTTTCAATCCTGCCACGTTTTATTTTGTTTTGTACCTTTGTGAAAGTTTTATTCAGTCCTTTTGATTTTTAAAATTCTCAATTAACTCAAATTTTTAAAAATTCGAGTCATTCATCTTCTTCTTCCAATTATTTGGTAAGAGTTGGGAAAATGTTTTGGCCATGATTCTGTTGACAGGAACGAAACATTTTTTACTGACTTTTGAACAGATTTAGTGTGGAAATGGGGAAATACTTTTCCTATTCCTTCAGCTTAAAAAATGCTTTTGATTTGATTGACTTCTGTTATTACGAGGGACCTCCAGAAAGTAAGTACCATTTTAAAATAATTAAAAAAGAAATAATTTTCCCAATCAAAACAATTTATTTTTGAATACCTCATACATATAATATATATGACAACTTCTCCACGTAGTCACCAGAACTGTTGAGGCATTTGTCATAGCGTGAAACGAGCTTCTGAATGCCCGCATCGTAGAAAGCTGCCGCCTGCAATATCAGCCAATGTCCAGTCTCTCCTTTGAGATCAGCGTCTGAGTTGAAGTCCTGCCCGCCCAAAAACCTTTTCAAATGCAGGAACAGATGAAAGTCACTCAAAGCCAGGTCTGGGCTGTACGATGGGTGCTTCAGCTGTTCCCATCCGAAGGAGGCAATCAGGTTTTGGGTCTGTGCAGACTTGTGAGGAGTTGTATTGTCATGAAGCAGAACAACGACGTCGCTAAGCATTCTGTGTCTTTTGTTTGAATCTCTACACAGTTTTTTAAAATATGGTGCGGTTCACATCAGAGTTAATTGTCATTCCATTTCTCCAAAATTCTACTAAAAGAACTTCTTTCCTGTCCCAAAATGCTGTACACATGACTTTTTTTCCTGACGCGGCCTGCGTAGATTGATTCAAATAAAAGGCGTGGAATGCTTAGCGACGTCGTTGTTCTGCTTCATGACGATGCAACTCCTCACTAGTCTGCACAGACCCAAAACCTGATCGCCACCTTTGGATGGGAACAGTTGAAGCACCCATCGTACTGCCCAGACCTGGCTCCGAGTGACTTTTATCTGTTCCTGCTTTTTAAAAAAGTTTTTGGGCGGGCAGGACTTCAACTCAGACGCTGATCTCAAAGGAGAGACTGGACATTGGCTGACATTGTAGGTGGCAGCTTTCCACGATGAGGGCATTCAGAAGCGCATCCCACGCTACGACAAATGCCTCAACAGTTCTGCCGACTACGTGGACAAGTATTCATATATATGAGGTATTAAAAAATAAATTGTTTTGATTGGGAAAATCTTTTCTTTTATAAATTTTTTAAAACGGTACTTACTTTCTGGACTTCCCTTGTAGCTAATTAAATTTTCTTCCATTTCTTTCATAATATTTGAAGTCTGCTCCAGGCTTAAATCAATCTCTTTATATGCTTATACATTGTCTATTGTAAGAGATAAGTTCACACATGTGACAAACATTGAATTAAAAAAAGTAACAAAGTACTCAAGGAATCTGAGGAAAAAAGTCTTGATTTAAAATGTGAGTAGATGTACAAATTTCAAAACTGTTGCTACTTGAGCTGCGTTTACCTTTTGAGAATTGCTTAGATATATATATCTAGTCAACATTATGCACTACATTCTAAGGAAACGTAATGTAAAATAAAAATCTAACAATGTTTCTACATTCCTATTGTTTTTCAAACTGTAGCTCACAGGCTAAAACGAAAATTACACATCTACTTCTGATGAAAGATTCAGACAAGTCATGCTTATTTTGCTCACAATTTGAATATTAGTTGAACATGATATCAATTACATTGTCCTTTGTTTTGAAAAATATAATTTTATTATGATTTAATATGTAATGATTTTTTAAAAACTTCCAGGGAGTCACCATTTTCCCAGGAGCCTTCATGCCCTTCTTGTTCTGACTTCAGTTTGAATTAAGGTCACATATGGTCTCTCATTCTCAGAAATGGGTATTGCATATAAGGATTTGACAGAAATAATGGTCCTGACATGAAAGATCTCAGTTTCACTAAACAAATAACCTCATTTTCTATTGGGCATTCCTCGCTTTCATAGTACATGTACATGCAATTCTTTCGCAAAGTTTTGGTCTGCATTTCATGTGAACATATTGTTCAAATTTTATAATAATTTTTCCCTTTTTGCTGCACATGCATTTCTTTTTTGTCCTTGTTTCTCTTGACCCTCTGTGTCCTCTTTTCCACACACTTATGTGTGTTCATTTCAATATTTCTCTGCATTTCTGTTTAACTGTTTTTTCTCTGTCCAATGAAGGCTGCTCCAGTCAGAGTCCCCTGTACACCTGTGTGAGCAGCCAGGGCAGTCCATGCTCATCCAGCACCTGCCCACAGGGCCAGTACTTCTGCCTTCTGACCAGAACGTGCTTGACCACAGGTCAGCCCTGCACCTGTGCTGGTCTCGACCCAACAACTATCACTGCAGATTGTCAAGCACTTTCTCTGGATGCCAGTACTTCCAAATTCACGGTATGGATATTCTATGAATATACTTTTTTCTGACGCCCACAATTCTTTTTTCTCCTTTTTCCACTGTCCCCATTTTCCCTATAGATGCTTTCAGGTTAGAATTAGTGATACTTATTAAAATAGGCTTGTTGAAAAGTAACATTATTCCTTTAAATAGGAGCAACCATCTTTATCTGGCACTAGTATCTTGAGGTGTTGTGTTGTCATAAAAATATTGTTATAAAGCCTATCATATGTAAATGGACAGAGGCTTTCTTTTGTAACATGAGCCATGTTGTAGTTTGGGTGCACTGATGAGAAATGAAATTTGACCCAGCTTTTGTTTCATTTTGCAAGTCTTATGAAGATCTCTAATGCCAAACTAGATTGTGGAACAGATTTAGCAAAAGGTGTTTAGGGGGGGGGGGGGGGGGGAGGAGGAAGAAGGAGCTGCAGAAGTTCTATTCACAACATTCGAGAAAAAGAGGTTTTTTGGTCAGCATAACCTATAAAAAATAGCGTTCTTCCGAAACTTGAATTCAGATTTATTAAAAAACAAGTCACAGTTTCACTGTGATTTTCTTACTCAACTGATCAGGGTTTCGATTTAGCAAATAAACAAATTTGGTGCCAAAATTAAAAAAAGGGTTTTGTCAGCTTACAGCAGAGCTCCCTTGTTTAGTTTGAAAATGATTTTTGACGCTTTAGTTCTCTCTGGTGGACTGACTTTTCTGCAAATATCTTAATCTTTTTGTGAGGGTTTTAATACAGGATAAAGAATAAAGAGGATCAGCTGGATGGTTTTAGAGCTTTGAATTGAAGACAGAAGGCGCCATAATGAAGTAAATCATAATTGAATAAGATATTAATATTACAAAAGCAGAAAAAAGAAATTGGGACAAGTGCAGTTACAACAGATTTTTCAGTCACTAGTGCATTCAAGCCAACAATATAGCACCTTTGTCCTAGCCATGAATAATAAGTACGAAAGGAAAGAAAATCAGAAATATTAAGAACCACCTTCTCTAAGAAAATGTATAAGTAGACATACAGACTTCAACATAAGATAAGGACCACTTGCAAACACTCTGAGTTGTCTTCTTGGGTCGACCTGCACATGGGCGTTCTTGGACTGATCCTGTGGCTTGATGGTGCCTCCTCAAGCGGACAATGACAGAGTGTGACACTGCAAGTCTTCAGGCAACTTCTCAGGCCCCAACTCCATCCTGCAGCCGTGCCATAACCCTGGCACCATCAAAGTCTCTCAGCTTTCGTCTTAGTGGCATGTTGATGCGATAATGGATTGTGAGCAAATGGAGGTTTATATTACTACCAAAGTGAGCACAGTTCGAGACCGTACGTCCTTTTTTATGACGTGCTCCAGAAATTTTAACTGAGGAATGTCCGTGGTGTCGCACACAAGTCGATAAAAAACAGAAAATTTGGCTAAAACTCCCTGAGGATTTCTGTGCTACACGTGGTGGTTTTGCTCCTTTAGGAAGCTTTGCAGTATGCATTGGTAACCCATTAACACTTTCAGAACCCAAAAAATTGAAACATTCCTTACTGTCCTTTTTTCGGGCTGTCTGTCAAGGTGGTCCTTAACTTATGTTGAAGTCTGTAGAATGTGTTCCTCTGATGTTTTTTCATTTAATTATATGGGTATGCTTTGCGATATGTTTTTGAGCAAGGAGTATGTATCCATGCTGACTAATTTTCTCTTCCTTTTTTTCTTTTCCATTCAGCTAATTCATTCCTGGGCAGTAACCATCCCAGCCCACACGACCCTGATTAGCTTCAGCCCTCCTCCATTTGAGGAAGTGCAGATTGGAGACGTTTTGGGGTTCCAGTCTGAGCAAGATGGTTTTGTCTCATGTCAGGCTCCGTCGACATCAGTGTGGTCTCAGGCAGTGTTCAGAACTGGCAGGACAGCTTGGGCAAGTTTAGGAGATACGGTCGACCCTCACACACAGTCGGTGCTCGTTGCTGACTCAGTTTGTGGGGTCAGTCTTTCATATGTGACTCAGAGCCAGCAAAGTTCCAGCGACATCCTAGGTTATCTCACTGAGCCTGGGGAGTACGCTTTCACATTGGACTTTCTAGACTTATCCTCATCCACCATCAACTCCCAAACCTGCACAGTGACAGCTTTAGACTCTGTTGATGGTCTCCTGTGGGTGGGACCAGATATTTCTGGAACTAACTCTATGCTTCTTGGATCTAGCACTGAATCCTTGAATATCTCTATCAGTGTAGAGGCTGGCACTCCTCAGGATCTCACAATCAAAGTTCTCAGAGGGTCTGATCTAGAAATTTCTTGGACTGTACATGGCACTGTGAGTTCTGGTACCTTCTCCAGTTCTTGCCCTGTGAGCCTGGCTTCTAGTAATAGTTTCTGTCAAGATGGAAGCAGTTTCTTGTCAGATCCTTTCTCAAGCTTGTCTAGCACTTTCAGATCCCTATCTCAGACTGGAAGCACCTCGGTCATGGCGCAAGTGTCTAACACAGTCAGTTCAAAAACATTGTTTGTTGAAGTGCAGGCATATTTGAGAATCACTGGCCTGGAGTTTTATCATGACAATTGTCAGAATCGCTCAAACTGTGAAGTCAGAGTGGAAATTGGAGTAGCTCAGATATGTCGTACAACATTCACAGCTGGAGATTATGTGACTGTGGCTTATACAGAGAATGGTGTAGCCATAACTTCCACACAGCCTGATCAGTTGGTAATATCTAGAACCTTCCTGCAGGCTGGAACTTATGTTTTGCAAGTGACAGCTACAAACATTCTGGGTAATGAGACAGCGGATTTGACAGTTCATGCCTTTATCAAGGCCAATTTTCAGTATCTCATCTTCACTACCACACTACCAAGAGCTGAAGTTAATGTTCCTCAGACAATTAATGCGGAAGCTAAGCTAACGAAAGATGCCTACTACAAAGCTGTGTGGTCATTTGGGAGTGAGACGTTTTCCTTTCCACTTGTTGCAGCAAAGGGAGAAATTATCCGCCCTAGCGCCCCTAAGACATTCAATGCCACTGGAAACATAACTGTCTCTCTCGTTTTAGAGGATGTGTTTGGTAATAGTCTATCTCAGTCCTTTGAAGTAGAAGTATACAAGAGAATAAACTCTGTGCAGCTGACCCCATCGACATCCTACCCATCTACTACCAGTCCATTCATCCTGCTGATTCAAATTAACAATTCCACTGCTGGAGATACCACCCACTTTGGTGTCATGAACTTTACGCTAGACCTCGGGGATGGAAGTCCCATCATGTCTTGGATAAGTATGTCCCCAGTCCTAGAAAAAGAATGTGAGATCACCACTGAAGGAGTTTTTACAATTACGCTGACCGTGTTTTCTGACCTAATCCCAGGGAATGTGCTTACCACAACGGCATCTGTAAAGACTGAAGATGGAATAGCTGGTTTAAAGTTAACTTATGATGGGCCAAAACACGTCAGCGAGTCTATTACTTTCTTTGCCAACCATAGCGCCGGCTCAGATATGACGTACTTAATCCAGTTTGGAGATTCATACAACCAAACCAGTACATCTCCCAGTTTCACATACCAGTATGCTGCTGCAGGGGTCTACGAGGCTATTCTCTACGCTTCTAATGCTGTGAGTAGTCTTACCGCACGCCTGAGGCTGTATGCATATGATGAAGACCTGCTCCAGATCCTTGAACTTAATTCAAAGACTTATGTGGAAGCTAACAAGTCTGTAACTGTCAGAACTGATGTTGCTGCAGAATCCCCTCAGGCTCTAGACTACAACTGGTCTTTTGGGAATGGAGAGACTGTCAATGGCACTGGCAGGGACTCGGCTTCAACTGTCTTCAGCCAGATTGGCCTCTACACCATCACGTTGACTGTGAGCAATGTCACAAAAGGAACATCTGATGTCAAGTCCAAAGATGTCTTCGTTGAACAGAAGATAGAAGACTTGAATGTTACTTACAACAACCCAGTCTGTAAGTATCTTGTTTTTCAGTTAAATTGAGCCTGAGGTATATTTGGTAGTGAGATGTCAATTTTTTGTTACCTTATTTCTTAGGTATTTTCTTAGTGTACTGAAGTTCAGGGACAGTTGTTTACAATAAATCTTTTAGAGTTCTAGGCTTTTAAGGATTCCTTGAGCTAAAACACTATTGTCTATTGTCATTACCTTTCCCTTTGTAAATGGAAAGAAAGGTTGATCCAGGCTTTTTCTTTGATTCCTTTTACTGTATGTTACTATTTGTTTTTCATTTTAAAATATGTATGAAGACAATTATTTAATGAGATTTTTTTATTTCACATCTGAAAAAGATGGTAAGATTATCGAATACAGTGCTACAAATTCAGTTATTTTACTCTACTAGGACTGTTGTTTTTTTAGCTTTGTTGTCTTCTTTTAAACTTCCAGGATAAAGTCCATAACCTTTTTTGGTAAAACATTTTTACATTTTTCTTTTGAAATCAGCTCTTCAGGAGAAAATTACAGGAGTAAGAAAAACACAAGTAGATGACCTATGCATGTTTTGATTACTGTTGACAATAGTTGTCTTTGGTTTGTGAAAGTATTGTGAAGGTCACAGTTGCCATGGTTTTTAGGATACTAAGCATTATTGGTCTGTATTTCTCCCTGTTTGCATTGTTTTTGTAAAGTGAATGACTGATGAGAAATAACTTGTGACTTTTTTTCTGTTGTTCGGGAACCTTATTTGACGATTTTCTTTAAATTGTTCATGGAAACACTATTCTTCATGAAATGGTGCATTTGAATGATAATTATGGGCTTAAAAAACTGCAGCACTGAATGTCCTACAGAGGACTGAGCTAGTTCATGTAATCAAACTGGCCGCAGGAGTTAAAAAAATAATATTTTGATCCTTATCAGGGATGCATGAGAAGAAGCACTTTATTTTGAAAAAATCATTTATCCTGCCCATTGTCAGTTACTGAAAGCAGCATGCGTTTCTTTCTACACTCTTTCTTTCCCTTTTTAGTCTTTGCTCTCCAATTATATTTCATCGGAGTCCGTGAAGAATATATTTTCTGTTTTGTATTTCTTGTTGCACTGCATCTTCAAACTGATCACAGTGTTGTGGACTGTTATAATTGCTATAAAATCCTATTTGTCATACATCATTTCAGATTTTTATTAATAATGTCAAGTCACTAACTTTGAAATATGCATACAAGTGTTTGTTAGTGAATTAGGTGTTAATGAAGAAACTGAATCCTGTCAAATTTTAGCTCAGGGACCCAGTAAATGAATAACAGAAATAATAATCTATAAATAAAAGGGGAAAAATCTTACCACTAATGACAATTTCATTCTAACATTCAGAGAATTTTATATTTTAATAGGCATGACAATGATGAACTTGATACAGGTATCTTTGCTGTTAGTAATATTGATAATGGCAATGAAATGATAGAAAATAGTACCTGTACTTATACTTTTTTATTTTGATATCTTGTTTCCATTATCATTTTTTAAAATATTTTTATTTTCATGAATTTTATTAATATCACTCAATATGGTATTTTGAAAGTAAACAAGTATCCAATGGATGTTTGTGACTGAAAAAGTGTTACTCAAAAGAATGATTTAAACTTACTTTAGTTTTATTGTTATTGTCCACAGCTCTCCCAAGTCCAACTTCAACTGTTTTTGCCGTTTTCACTGCCACTATTGGCTCAGGGTCAAATCTGAGCTACACATGGCAAGTAGACTCCACCAAAGATGTTAGCACAGAGAATGTTCTGAACTTCACCGTGCCCAGTGCAGGAATTTATTCTGTCAAAATCAAAGTCTCCAATGATTTAAACAGAATTGTGAAGAGGATGGAATTTGTTGCTATGGAAATCATCACAGGGTTGTCCATCAATTGCATTACGTGTTCACTTGATGTGTATGCTGCTACTGGTGTAAGAATGGCTTTTGAAGCCTCACTAGTTTATGGAAGTCATGAAAATTACACTTGGAGTTTCACTGGGTTACCAATATTACTGCTAGGTTCATCTGCTAGTTTTATATACAGCACACCTGGAACCTACAGTGTGACCCTTGTGTCCCAAAATAATGTCAGTAACAGTGCAGTCACAGCCGATATAACAGCACAGGATGTGGTGGGCAGTGTGACAATTTCACAAACTTCCTCACCAGTGAAAATCAATGATGTTGTGACTTTGAGCGCGTCTGTATCTTCTGGGACAAATGTCGCTTTATCTTGGATGTGTGGCAGCAGCAATATTGGGACAACTTCAACAATAGTGCATTCCTTCAACAGCTCTGGGTACCATACGTGCACTGTAAATGCATCAAATTATGTGTCATATGTGATAAAGAGTCATGATGTGCCTATTTTAGATGAAATTTCAAGTGTAGCTGTTAACCATTCTCTAGTGGGTGGTTCGTCTTCTGTTTATTATGCTGCTTTGAACAAATGGTATGACTTTTTTGCTGTATCTAATACAGCGTTCCTGGTGGACTATGAGTGGAAAGTGATGCGATCTGGACTGTCTTTGAGAACAGGCAGAGGTCAAAAGTTCTCATACTCTTTTTCAGTAACAGCTCAGTATGAGCTACAGCTCAAGGCCTCCAATGATATCAGCAGCCAAGAAACATCCATAACCCTGGAATTAATGGAGGAAATTCGCAGTGTTTCCCTCCGTTCTGATAAACAATCCCCACTGTTAGCGGGCATTGATATCACTTTCTTTGTGATTAGCTTTGCAGGCTCTAATTTGGACTTTGAGTGGCATATCAATGGAACACTGATCAACAGTGGTAGCAATCAGTATTTGGGGTATCGCTTCACAAATGCCGGTCAGTCTTCTGTCCAGGTAAAAGTTTCAAATATGCTGGGATCCGTGACTAAAGAGATTGTAATGACTACCTTGAACCCAGTATCAAATACCACCATTTACTTTGGACAGCATGGTGTATTTTGGCATTCTCCTTTCATTGCTGAAGGAACTTCCGTGAATGTCTCCTGTGCTTATTTGACGGGAAGTGATGTCGAGTTTGAGTGGACAGTAAAACAGTTAGCTACGGGAAGAACAATAACTTTTGATACCCCTGTTGTCCCTTTCACGTTTATGGAAATCGGATTTTATGAGATAACTGTGAATGCAAGCAACCTCTTGAGTTATGAGGAAGGGGCTCTGACTGTTGAGGTTCAAGGTGCTGTTACTGACCTCATGATCAACTTGGATCATCAGCTTGTAGCCACAGGTTCTTCCATTTCATTTGCTTCGGTATTGAACCCAGAAGCCACAAATGTTTCTTACGTGTGGTCAGTAGCTGGGGAAACACTCAGTGCTTTGAGTTTTTCAAGACAGATGTCGGCAGCTGGTGTGTATGTTGTGTTCCTTACGGCACAGAACAATGTATCCAGCGTTACCAAGCAGGAAGTTATCAGAGTACAGGACATCATCACAAACCTGCAGTTTTCCGACTGCTCACTCATAAGAGAAGCTAACACTTCAGTATCTTTGACAGCTGTTGTGGGAACGGGAACAAATGTCACATTTTGGTGGGAAATAGAAGTTGGGAATCAGAACATCAGCCTGAAAGGAAAAATGATTGATTTCCTTTTTCCAGAGGAAGGCATTTATAATGTATACCTTGGGGCAGAAAATGAAGTGAGCACAGACAATTTCACCTGCACAGTGGAGCTGCACTTACCGATAGGCTCATCTGTCACGTTGGAAATCAGCGAACCGAGGACAGACTATATTTTCCAGAACCAAGATGTCACATTTATGGTGGACAATGGCAATCTAGATTTTGCGACTTTCCAATGGAATGTCACAGGAGAACCTGGCTATGTATCTTCATCGAGCCCTTACACCCGTTCCTTCTCAAACATCGGCAACTACACCCTCTTTTTAACCATTTTCAATGGTATCAGCAAAGCTGAACTTTCCATCGAGTTCAATGTCAAGGTCTTCTTGTGCCAACTGCCGGATGTGACTCGTGTAGGTGATGCGAGTCGTTCTGTTCAGAGATCGAGGTCACTAGAGCTTGAAGTGGCCATTAACCCAAACGGATGTACAGAATACTTGGCTGTCCACTCCTGGTCTGTGTACTCACCAACTTGCAGTGGACACGCGAACCAGACGGAAATGGTAAGTACTTGTCTTTTTCTTTTCATTAACTGTTGTAATGTAGATTTTTATCTGCATTTAAGAGATGGGACCAATTTGTGCCCTCAAAGAAGCACTGTACGGATGTAGTCTAAAATTTTCACCTTGCACAAAAGTTCCCCCTCAATTTAAGTTGTAGAACAGCTGTATTGTTTGCTGTGTGTACTGTCATTGTATGGGAGTATTCATTGATATTCTTTCCATATTTTTTTAAAAATTCAATACTGCTATCTCTTATTCTTAGTCAGAAACATGGCTTCTTTTTGTGATACTGCTGTCTATCACATTGGTTCCCAATTTTACACATGTGCCTTTCTACTTAAAATATGTGAAACCATAATCTTCTTTTCACTGGACTATTATGAATTTAGTCTGATTTATCTAGCCTTTGTAAAAGACAGTTAATCTGCTGTTAAAGATAAAGTGCTCATGTGAGCCCTTTTGTTTCGCTGAAATTTGCACACCACGTTTAAGAAGTTTGAATGTTATAATGTATTTTATGCCTAATGTAGTACTTTTAACTGCAGCTATTAGGGTAAAGAACAAGTTTTGTGAATAGAGTCTTGAAAGCTGATTCTGAGTCAAATCTCAAACTAGAGTGACAGAGAAAAGCAAAGAGAAGGCCAAGAAAGCGGAATGCATGGTGATCTCAGAAATTGTCAACATCCCAGATTGCAACTTCAAAAGTAAGAATGAAAGAATAAAACAGGTCAGCAGTTTCAAATGCCGTGTTTGCACCATTACACTAGATGTAAAAAGTGACGGAAATGAATAAAAAGGATTGCAATATCGAAAGAAACTCTCACCATGCTGAAACCTATCCTCTCAAACAGAAATATAACACTGAATACAAAGATGAGAACCTAAAAATGTTTTTGTGGACAATCTTTTTGTATTGATGCTAGAGCTGGACACAGAAAGAAGCCTGGAAGCTGCTGAATAAGGAGGTTACTCAGAATCTCATGGGCAGAGAGGGAAAAAACAGAATGGAAGTGCTTTGAAAGATCCGTCAGAGCCATCTGAAAGAGACAAGTGAGATTCTTTGGCTACATGAATAGTTCAAATGGACTTGAGAAACTGCTGCTATGTGGAAAGATAGGGGGATGGAAAAGCAGAGGAAGACAAGAGAACAACAAACCCATATGGTCAAAACAACTTTTTAACAAATAGCACAATGGGAAAAATCGAGCTGATCAGGAAGATGGACAACATGAAGGAGTTAATTTAAGCAAGAGTTTTACAACACTTGCAACACAATAAGGTCAATTGAGTGCCAAAGAATAGAGGTGTTACAAGAGAGTAACAAACTCACAAGAAAGAAGGAGGAGAAATAAGGACAGCAGATGTTTGATTGGAAAGAAGGAGCGAACCACACCAAAGCACCCGCCAACCACCCACTGCTCCGGACCTGACACCTGAAGAACAAAAAGTACTTCTGATACAAAGAGGTATTTTCAGTTGCACCCCCACCTTGTGAACTGTATTTGGCCAAATTTGCTCATTGTCTGTTGATACTGAATTTCAGGTGGACCTCGGAGCCACAAGTGTGACCAGCCCACATCTTATCATCCAGGCCCGCCAGCTGGAGGTTGGCTCATACTGCGTCAGTTTTGCCACTGGCTACCACTACACTAGTGTGCTGGAGACTGTGGACTATATGGTCAATGTCACAGCCGCTCCCATCAAGGCAGTAATTAAAGGGGGTGATGGAAGGTACCTTTACGTTTTTATTACTTTTGAGTTTTGTGAAAATGTTCATTCTTTTGTGTTCGCGTCGCGGATTTGTCATTGAAAAAGTGATGCCTATTTTTAGGATCCATCTACAATAGGAAGCTGTCACTTTTAGAGAGCCATGGAAATATCCAGAAAAAAAAATCAAAGAAGTACAGTTTTTTGTGAAGGTTGCTTTTGTATCATTCTACACTATGTTCCTTTTCATGTACTTCCATTAAAATTAGTGTCATGATTATTTCTTTTTTGATCTCTATTTTTTTGTAAACAAGGGATAGAAAAAAAAATGAAGCCCAAAGGCACTATTTGTTTTAGCATTTTGTTCGATACACATTATTATTTTCATTTTATCTCTCCTCATCTTCATTTTCTTATGTTTCGAATGTGGTGATTGACATATTTCACTCTGAAATGTTTTTCCTTTCTTAAATTTTCACGTTCAAGCCCATTGTGACATGGTAACTTACAAACATTATCTTTCTTATTGGAGTTCAAGAGTAGAGTCTGATTGAGGTCGAAATTAATTTTCATTTGCTTCATAGAACATTAATCAAAGCCCTGAAGGAAACCAAGTGTTTTGCCAGTATTTTAGTTTAGGGATTCTCTTATTCTTCAACATCAAGAAAGAAAACAAACTTTAAGATAATGTATCTGTATTTCTTAATAAAGTTGCAATTTGATAGATTAAAACATAACTGGTAGTACCTTAGAAGCTGTTATCAATTTCTAAGAAGATTGGTAAGTCTTGTTTTGTTTTGATTGATTATATTTGAACAGGACTATGGCAGCGGGATCAAACCTATGCTTCGATGGAAGTTTGTCTTACGACCCGAATGAGTTACAAGGTTCAAGACCATCACTTCAGTACGAGTGGAAGTGTGAAGCTGTATGTATATTATTATTTCCTAGTTTGTCTTAAAAATACACAAATTAAACTCCCTTTTACATGTAATTCATATATATCTCTTTCCTTCCCCCCCCCCCCCCCCCCAAGCATTTCTTACTCTAAGCTAGAGACGGGCGGAAAGCGCTTTTCTCTTCCCGAGCGAGAAGCCTGAGAAGCTGAACTGCTTCTCGCCGGGACCGGTACCAGTCCCGAGAAGTGCTTCTCGGCTCATGACCTATTTCTCTTCTCGCGCCGTTTGACGAGTAGCTCGCTCAGCGAGAAGGCCGGCCGTGGTCGGGATCTAAACTAGGCTAGCCCTGTTGCGCAGGCGCAAGCGGTGAAGGAAGGTAGGGAGACCTAGGCCTAGGCCCTGATCAACTCCCCACTCGCCTCGTCTCGCCACCCTCTCCCCCCCTTTCAGTTTCAGACACAGAACGGCACGCTGATGGGTGACACTGTCTGCGTGTCATTTCTCGCTGGCTGTGCCGCTCTTTCCGTAGACACCTCTCACTCTCTCACTCTCGTTACTCATTATGTTAAGCCAACGAGAAGTATCACTTCTCAGTACCGGCCAGTAGTTTAGTGGCCGGGAAGTGATGGGAAGGGCATTTCTCGTGAGAAACGGGTACTCTTCTCCTACTCTAAGCCCTTCCCATTTTTTGTACCTAATCTCTTCTTGGTACTGGTTTTTTATTTTTGTTTTTGTTTAAACTTTAAGGCCTATATTTCATTTATAGATGTACATACCATTCTTTCTAAGAATACCATAAATAGTCCATTTTGCTTCTTGCATTATTTTTTAGACATTATTGATTAGTGCCTCAGAAATGATTCTAATGCCAAAGAAAAAAATGGAAAGGAAAAATAATTTTGTTCGACGGAGGAAGTTTTTTTTTTTTCATGTGACTTTCATCATTACAGTCCCGTCTAGCTGTTTGAATGTCTGACCTGTGGTCTTCTGCTGGTCTCTATCAGGTGTCTGCTTTTGGTGGAAGCTGTTTCCCAACCAGCACTGCAAGTCAAGTGTGTTTCACAGGCTTTGGCATTGGCAAATACAATATCAGTCTGACTGTGACTGCTCCAAATCGAGTGGCTGGAAACACAGAACAAAATGTGAGAATTAATGACCACTGTCTTTTTGCTTTAAAATTTTTTTAATTTCTCTTTGTTCATGACTGCAAACTGGTATGGTATATTGACCTAGTCTTACCTTTTGAGTTTTTTAAAATATTTTTTTAATGAAGAGAGTGTCATCTGTATTTTCTTGTGCAGAAATTGAATACTGCTTGCTAGCAAATTTCATGAATGATCTTTCCTGGAGGCATTGTCATTATTGCTCAGTTATCCCTCAAGTCAAGATATTTATCCCCTGGACTAGTCAATAAGATAAGCTTTGCCTTGCATGTGACCTACAAGTAAGTTGTATTGAACATTTACAGCATTAAACTGGTCCTTGGGCACTGTGTACATTCACACTGTCAGAATAAAACAAATGTTTGCCCTTTGTCATAGTTTATTATGTTTGAATATTTGTAATTCTACACTGTTCAGTCAAATGTATTCTTTATCCTCATCCCTGTACAGATTCAAGTGATCCAGACAACAAGCTTCATGCCAATAGCAAGCATTGTGTGTGAATCGTGTGCAACCTTAGAGAACTACAGAGTGAGTGCCAGCCAGCATGTGGCCCTATCAGCAACGTGTGAGAACTGTCAGTGTCAGCCCAGTTTTTCTTGGACGGTCAGTATCTCCAGGTTTTGTCCACTGATGTGTTTTTTTGCTAGATAAGTAAAGATGATGCCTGCTGTCAATTTTGCATTCCTTGAAACAGAATGTATAATTACCAATGATAAATAACTTTTGTTTAGCGCAAATTTCTACTCAACTCTGTGCTCTTAACTCATTTGCTACTTATTATTTTCGGCTTGTGGATGAATTTTTTTCGGGAGGGCGAAATGCGATGATGACTAGTGCGCAGTCCAAAGGTCTTTGGGGCCACAAATTCAAATAAATATCAACTATTATATACCAACATTTTCAGTATGGTTTGTAGAATACATCTGAAATGATTATTTGTGTATGAAAATAAAAAATTAATAATCTTTGTTGAAACTCAAAAAATATGTTTGCACCTAGTCAAATGATACATCAAAATAACCATAAATGAATATAGAACTGGAAATTATTGAAAAGTTTGCAGTTATTTACATACATTCCATAATAATTGTACAGTAGGACCATAACATCCGATATTGAAAGAAATATCTTTTTTATAATCTTGAAAAAAGGACAACATGCATTCTCAAACAGAAAAAAAACCATTCGTATTTACTTGGAATTATTCAGAATTGCATTTGGATTAAACCTATACATGTCTTAAATGGCACTTTTTGTGTAATTTCACCAAAAAGTAGTGATTTTGGGGAGAAAAAATATTTTGACAATTTATTAGATCTAGACCTAGAAGATCTAAAAATCTAGCACTCAAAAATATTGATTCCTCAATAACAGTGCATTGGCAATTTGAGTCGAATAGTATCAATATTATAAAGAAGAGTCCTACATTTCTGTAGTGAGCAAAATAATGATACATTTTGTTGTGTAAAAGTACTAAGACTGGTGTCTGGGCTATAATTTTGGCATCGCGATAAAACAAAGTCGCATAAACTACGAAATCGTGTTTCAAAACTGAATCTAAACTTCCGATTTTCGGTGGAAACGCTTGACCCGGAAGTCTATGTTATGTTTTACCTTTATTTTAACATGGATACGTGGATTGGAATAAAATCTAAGCTAGAATTATAGGTCGGTGCTCGAGCCGTCAGGGGGGGCTTGGCATACGGAAGACACTTTCGCCACGCCGCTGCCCAGGATTAGAAAGCATTTCTTGTGTAATTTTTATGTTTATTACTTTCGAAAATAATTTTTTGGTAGTAAACTTCATAATTTGGTAGTGAAGTTCGTCTCTTGGTATTAAAATGAACCTCTTGTTGTCTTTCAGGTGTATGATGGACTGAACCAGCTGCCGCTGGACAGCTCACAAACATCTACAGGACTGACCAGTCAGAGCTTAGTGCTCCGCCGATGGGGTGCTCTTTCAGACGGTGTTGACTACACGTTCATGGTGTATGTCGAATGCCAGAATGTTTCATCCAATCAAGCGACTGCCTCACTCCTCCTGCCAGCCAATCTGCCCCCATCAGGAGGCTATTGCACCATTTCACCAACACGAATTCTTCCCCTTGAAGAGCAGGTAAGTCAGTTATAGTTACAGTGATGAATCTATCCACTTTATCATGTACATAGACATTTTGGTTCTGTTTCTTGTAGGATTCTAACATTATTTTTATCTTCAAAGAAGCCTCTTTCAGTTTTTCTCTTCACAATGTTTCATGTGAAGACAAAAGATTTTTTTCCCTTTGTGATTATGACTAACTACAAAAAAGATTGCTCCCATTCCTCTCGTCCTTTTGGTTTGTAGCTCTTTCCGCTATTGGTATCATTTATCATACCTTGAGTGCTGCATCATGATGATCCTTTATGTTGTACCATTTGTACAGTTTTTATTGTGTATCATGTATTGATGGCTTTGAATAACATTGTGATACATTTTTGTTCTTTATGTTCAAGGTCACTGTCAGCTGTCACAACTGGATTGATATTGATGACTTGGATAGCCCCATTCTGTACAAAATCTATGCTGAAGTGTACGACCCACTTAGTGGAACCAATCAGAGCTATCCACTCTATGCCGGCACTGACCCCACACAGTCTGCCTACCTGGGCTCTTTCAGTAATGAGACGGTTGTACTGAAAGTGATGGTGTCTGATGAATTTGGAGCAATGGCATTGGGAGCTCAAAGGTATTTTCGAAAATAATATATACATTTTCATTGAGGAGAACAATTTGTCTAGATAAAATTGTTATGTAATGGCTCACAGTCAATTGAGTCGGTGTATATGGAGGAAGGACTATTCTCAGCTTGTTCACCCTCTCTTTTTTACCTTTTACTTTCTTATTTTTAAGATTTTTGAACATTCTCAATGGGTTTTTGGTTGTTGTTTTTTGGGGGCGGGGGGGGGGGGGGGGGTTTGCCTTGAATCATGAATCATTCCTCTGCTAAAAATTGACAGACTTACAGGCATTCAGTGTTACCACCTGTTCTTCTTTAATTTGCCATCAGAAATAATGCTTGATAATGCTGGATAGCTGAGTGAAATATGAGCCAAATATCAAGCAACCTAAAAAATAATCATATATGAGTGTTCTTCCTGTCGTAATAGAAAGTTCAACCCATATTAACCTTACCATAACAAACTCATTTTTTAAAATCTATTACTGTTCATTATTGTTGTCATTATTATTATGTAACTAGCCTCCCAAATGCCTGTAGCATGATACTGAGAGCTAAGGGCTAGGACCATCTTGTTGTATTGCCTTTGAGTGAAGCATGCCCTTCCCTTCTACGGATTTGTTTCTACACCTTTTATTTTGGTTTTCATTTTGGCATTTGAAGTGCTTCGTTGTTCAGGGCTATGCTCATCTTTCTCTGCTCACAGAACTTATGAATTAACTGTTTTCTTTTAGATGGATGAATGTTTGGTCAAATTACCCAAATAGTCCTATGCACTTCCACTGCCTGTGAATATATGAACAGCCTACCCACAAGAGAAGCCAAGAACCTTTGCTTTTACTTGATCAGATTTTGGACACAGCAATAGAACGGAAATTGGATTGTTTGCCTTTATAGTGCCTTTTCGTTTAGTTAAATGGCATAGCAATTACCAACAGAAGGAGCAGTTTCTCACTTTTAATCTTTTGTTTCTGTTCTCTCCTTACTAACAGCACTATACAGATGCAGACTCCGCACTTTGCCAGCAGCATGACAAAAACAGACTATCTGGTCAACATTACGGACACAGTTCTGTCTGGCCTGATCAAACAGGCCTCACCCATATCCCTTCTCCAATTTGCTATTGCGATGGGTCAAGAACTTAATGCTGAGTCACATAAGGAGAAACTTGCCCAAACTGCTGGCTCAGGCTCCCTACCGGAGCAGCAGCGGGCGTCTATCAGGGATGTCATATCCATCTGTTTGTCTACGTCTGTGCCAGTATCCTCCCTGGAGGATGTGCACCAGATGGCGTTTGCCCTCCGTCTGATTACGGTGAGTATTACGTTACTAGTTTGAACATATGACCATCGTCTAATAGGGTTTTATTTATCATTTTGTACTCTTTTTGAGAAAATTTTTAATGCTGGAATTCTGATTATCAACTTTAAAATGAGATATATAACTGAGAATTGAAAACATCTTGCCATCCTTTTTTTAGGCTAGATTTCATGTTTTATTCTCTTTTTGTTTGTTTTTCTATTTTCTTCTTTTTGTTGATTGAACTTCATGGTAGTTTAGTTGGTTAATTCAACAGGCATTGTCTCTTGAGCCTTACAGGACCCGTGCACCTGAGCTCCCTTAGGTTGACTGTTGCACCGCCACACACTGAGCAGTGAAGTCGGTGCGTCAAAGGGAGAAGATATAGCTTGCTCAAAAGTGCTCTTTGGTCCATAGGATGCCATACATTGTTTTATCAATCATTTGCTTTGAAATGTATATCCATATGTGTCATGGCATTGTGGAATCAGGTGCTCGTACATTTTTGGGCATGTGGAGTTATTGATATCATCTGAAAGCTGATTCATTTGCCTTGCAATCAATGACAAAAATATCCATCTAGATTTTGAATAGAAGTCGAGATATTTGCGATTGAAGAAGGTGGGGTAGCCTGATTTCAGTGGTTAAATTAATGAGAAAATGGCTGCCAAGTTTGGTAACTTCAATAGCTTAAGAGTCCTTGAAAACTGAAAATTACATATTTTGGGCCTTTAAACAAAGTTTTTCAGTAAAATTCACATGGAAATTTGTTTTAATATTTTCGATAAAAATTGCCGAGTTGGTGGAAAAATGCCTTTTTCTTCGACTTAATTATTTTGACAAGCGCCTGATTTCAGCACGATGCCTCACATATTATGACTGAAGGAAAGTATTGCTTTATTATTCTCACAAATCAGGACTACTCAAGTGAGTACTTGACAGAAGACAGCCAGGTACTCATTGCGGGCACCATGGAGACTATGGCTTCTGTCCTCCAGCAGTCGGTCAATAACGGACTTGATCTTGATGACGTCCCAACTGAAGACCTTCTCAGTGTCATCAACAATTTGATAAACGCTGCTAATACCCGTGTATACTCATCATCAGTCATCTGGGGCGGTGGACGAAATGTCACAGTCAAGTCTTTCGACACAGAATTCCGTGACCTGCGGCCAGAGATATCATCTAGTGTGGGCCATTTGGACTTTGAAGACATAAGCCTTGGCGAGAGCCACCGAAAGAGGATGATATCCACTCTGGTGCCTTTGCTGGAGGGAGTTGTGGTCTCTACCTTAAAGACGATGATCCCACAAGAGGAGAGCCTTAATGTTGGGATTGAGGAAATGATGGTGAGTCTGAATGTTGTTGGGCTTACATAATGAATGCCTAATTTTTTTATGTCACAGTTCCAGAATTTCTGCATGACAGATCTGATTTCTTAATCTGCATGCCACTGTAGCTGGCCTACTTCCAAGAAAAAAAAACAATAGGATATTCATATGACAATTGTACTAAAAATGCTCTTGATTTGTTGTTTTGTATTTCAGCATTTCTTTTTTTCCTTTGCAGGTCATAGGATCAAGAATCTACGCGAGAGACATATCTCTCAGAGGTTTAGGAGACAGCACACAAATATCCATACCTTCTACAATCCTGAAAGGCCATAAAAATGACACAGAAGAAGTGTTCCAAGTCATGATCAGCCATGAGCAAAACCCATTCACATTCAGCTATCTTGATGAAGAATCATCATCGATGCCCGTTCAGACGCTATCATTCTATGACATTGATGGCACCTACATTGAAGTCTCAGGTCTGAGCGGATCATCTCAGGTGTACATGTACATGTTCTCCACACCTACCCCTGGCCTGGCTGCCATCCCTCGAGGTGATCTGCCTCAAAGTTCTATCTACCAGCCACTGAACGGCCTGACGTACAACACTGTGCAGATTAACCCTAGGAGGACTAAGATGTTTCAAGTCCCCGGTGCTGAGAGCATTACATCCACAGGTGTTGGGATACATGTGCAGGTATATTGGGAATTTTTACTCTTACCATGATGTGGGTTTTGTGCCCTAAAAACACTGTGAGGCCTGACCTCAGAATTTTATGACTATCCCTGGTAGCCACGAGCAAAATGGGTTTAGAACCTTGAAATCCCCTGAAACAGCTCAAATTTATGAAAGCTCCACGAGGGATTTGAATCAGGGCCATATGATAATGGTAGTGGTATGCATCTATAAGGTTGTAAGGCTGTATGTTGCTTGGGGAAATGGAGCGGAAGGGAGAATAAACAAGTTGGCCAAAAGAGTTATTACGAGGTCTTGTGGTCCTATCCGAAATAATGAACAACATTATATAGTCACCCTCACTTTAAATATTCATGACGAAGAATATGCCATTTATAGGCTACATTGATTTCAAACATGTACATTCTAAAAATAGTCTCTTCAGTGAAGACCCCCAATTTAAGTTTCTCCACTTTCTATGGAGAACAAATTTTCAAAACTTAAAACAGTTTTGCTTGTCTCATACTTCACTGCTTTGCTTTGGAGAGTCCATGGAGATTAAGACTTGCAAACTGCTCTGACTTTTTTCACCTCCTTTCTTTTGTTGCTATGTTCATTATTTGACCTTAGAGCTTGAAACAGAAAGTTGTGCAGTAATTAACTTCAAGTCAAAGATGATAAGAGGGATTTTTTTTCAAATATTTTGTTGCTTAGATTCTATTTTCAGGAAGAACTACATTTGTTGCCTACACATGAGTCCATAGCTTAAGCTGCTTGACAAATTCCAAAGATTTAGATTAAAAATCACTTTTCCCATTGTTCTTTAAATTTGTAATAATACTCTCGAGTCCCAAGAAATATTTATTACGCATGTGTATGATTTCAAGACAGCAAGCTGCAGTGCTGATTGAACTCACAATATGATAGATGTCATGCACAGCTTTGTGTCCTCTTTTTCTTTCAGCTTCGAATTGAGTATCTGCCCTCTAGCGGACCAGCACCTTCGAATAGATCTGGAACCAATGTGATGGCGTACATAGGGGTTAACTTCGTCCCCAGCTCTGGTAGCTACACAAAAATGCTCAACTTAACAAGTGATCTCATGTCTGCTGGGACAGAACATACAGAGTACACCTTTTTCCTCAAGTAAGTCCCCTCTACTGTTGTTGAGCTTAATGCCCCTAGAAAACCTTCAGAAGAGGATGTAAATGTCTTTCTTACCCCTTGAACACAATGTAGATCTTTCAGGGAGAATGAAAAATGACCAGGAATGCCACATGAAGACCTCCAAACAGCAGTGCATTGGTAACACAAACTTGTGTGGTTAGGGCACATAACAAAATCGTAAGGACTCACCAAAACCATGCTGCTGGGCATAATGGAAGGACTGAGGAGAAGCAGGCAGAAGAAAATGTTGGAGAATAACCTTTCAGAATGAACATATTTGAAATAGAGTAAAGGAATATATGGAAAAAACTGTTTGCCAGGGTCTGTCTTGGTTGACTGGAGTATATAGGATACAACCCAGCACAAAAAAGGAGATACTGGATAAAATATTGTCCTCATATAGAAATAGATACATGTTTGGTGTGTGTAAGGTGAGGATCCTTCCCATCACACCCAAGTGGCTCATTCTTGAGACAGTGAAGGCTAATTCAAAGGCAGAACTCTCAGTATGCAGGGAGAAGAAAAATAGTTTTGATACTTTTCGAATTCAAACTCAAACTCCCAATTGATAGGTCATGTCTGTTGTGTACAGAACCACCAAAGCCAGAATATCTCCCATAATTAATGTATAATTTTTGGTGATAGAATAGATGATACTTCCTTAAATCTGAATTTTTAAAGCTATCTTGCATTCAGAAATGATCTTACTTTACTTTATCCATCCTCTTGTACCTCTAGGGCATCGAGGGGAGAAAGAGCTTTCTGTCTCTAGCAAGTTTGATGGCTTGACTGGGTGGGATATTGTATGTTCTCAGGGTATCCTTCACACCCTGGATCCAGGTCTTTCTTGGTCTCCCTCTTGCCTTGTAACCTGATACTTTTCTGTAGTTGGCTTTACTGGCAAATTGGTGAGATGTCATACAAGTGAGATGTCAAAACCACCTGATTGTTTGTCTTTGAATGTAGTGGAGGACTGGTGTTGTTCCCATCATTTCCCTGATCTTGTTGTTTCTGACCATGTCCGTGGGTGGTTGGTGGGTGCTCTGGTGTGGTTTGCTTCTTCTTTCATATCAAACATCTATCGTCCTTATCTCCCCTTCTTCTTTGTTATGTTTGTTACTCTCTTGTAACACCTCTAAATCTTCTAGCGCTCATATGACCTTCTTCAGTTGCGAGCGCCATAAAACCTCTACTGAATTTAAACTGACTGTGTCCCATCTGAATTTGTTGACGGTTCTCCTTAGACATCTCATCTTGCAGGTGGTTGTCTTACGTTCCAGACTTTTGGTCAGGGTCCATGTCTGGCACTGGTAGGTCAAGGTGGGGATGAAGATAGAGTTAATGAGCTTGGCTTTGGTCTCAATGGGGATGTTAGGATGTTTGAGGAGTGTGGCAAGCTGGCAGCTGGGGCTGTTAGCCTTTTATACTCCCGTCTCAATTTCTCTGTTGAGACGTCCGTCTTCTGAAAAGATGCTACCAAGATACTTGAACTCGCTGACTTGTTTCAGCGGATTTCTGTCGATGGTGATGTTAAGGTTGCCTGGTGTTCTGCTGATTCTCATCGTCTCCGTTTTGCTTTAACTGATCTTCATGTTGAGCTTTTCACATTGTGTATTCCGCCTGTTTGTGTGCCCTTGAAGTTGTTCTTCTTTCTCATATGCCAGGCTTTGATCGTCCGCTAACAGCATCCCATTCAGGTCTATCAGGTTATTTTTTGCTTCTTTAGTAATTTTGTCCATGTATATTATAAACAGTAGCGGTGATAACAGACACCCTTGTCTCACTCCAGATGACACATCGAACCAGTCAGTGAGTCTGTTTTGGGTGTGGACTATGCTCATACTGTTAGTATATATGGCTCTGATGTTGTCCAACAGTTGTCCCCCTAATGCTGTACTCTTCAAATGTTTGCCACAGTTTGTTTCTATCTACTCTATCAAACGCTTTTTCCTGGTCTACAAATACAAGATTCAGTTCATTGTTGTATGCAATTGTCCTTCCTCTCAGTTGTCTAAGAGCGAAGATAGCATCTGTGCATCCTCTCCCTTTTCTGAAGCCCATCTGCGCCTCACTCAGTAATGGTTCCACCTTGTGCATTGTACATTGTTCCAAGGTCATCATCAGAAATGATGTTCATATGAAAAAAAGGGATATTTTCCTTATTCTTTATAATCAGCTAAGGAGCAGCTCATCTTTTACAGAATTTGTTACGAAAAATGTACAGTTGTTTGCAAATAATTATTTGACCTGGAATTTATGCTGTTTTGCATATTGTTAAGATGAGATTAACTCTTTATTTCCGGCAAGCCACTCTCAGCGGCTCACGGTCGGAACCACTGTTCTAGTGAGCTGCTGGCTGCGGCTTGGGCGCATTTCTTTACAACTTCGATGTCAAATTACCATTTGGCTGTTGCCGAGAGCAAGTCTCTTTTACCGGGTGATCATTCATTAGATGAAGAGCTACCAATAGGTTCAGTTATTTTGATTTAATGACCAATTTTGGGACATATGTATGACGTATATGTCAGTTTTAGATTTGGTACCAAAATAGGGCCCCGCCAAAGTGGGAGAGAAAGAGCTAAGAAACTAAAAGATTTGAAGTTCATGTTTTTTTATAGCAGTTCAACTATTTAATAAAAGAAAAGTTGGATTAATATTTTCTGCAGAGGACGTTGTACAAACCTTGCAGTCAGTTTTCACTTTTGGAAACTGCATTGCTTTTAAACTTATAAATATTGATTATGATTTCTTTATCTGGTACTGTAGTTCTAATTTGTGAAAGCCTCATAATAAGGAATTATCCAGTTGATTTCCTCTTTCCAATCTCCAATTATCTGAGCTCACTGGACAGATTATTTGCAGCAGCTATGAGTATACTAATATTTCTTGACTTGTTTTATCTAAATTTCAGTGGCCTGAGTTCTTCAGACAGTGTCTACGTTATCGCCACCAATATGGACCTATTCGTCAGTGTCAACATGTCGGTAGGTGTGTATACCTCCACATGCAGCTACTTTGACACGACAGACCAGCTTTGGTCCAACGAAGGATGTACTGCCCAGGAAGAGTCGATCGCCACGGTCACTGCGTGTCAGTGCAATCACTTGACTTCCTTTGGGGGTGCTGGGATTGTATCAATCACTGACATTGATTTTACTGATATAGTGGTGAGTCATTGTCTTGAAGCAGTTCAGACTATAAATGGAGCTGAAAGTTTCAGCTTTTAGTCAAATTTTATTTTTGATTTTGCTTCTGTTTGTCTGTGGGTTTTTTTAACATCTTCAGAAGTATGATTGGACTTCAAAACAAAATTAGATTGTTTTTAGGAGGTGAGCAGCCTTGTCAGGACCAGTCTGCTCTGTGAGGAATACTTTGAGCCAGTAGGAAAAAGAATATAGCTAATAAGATCTTCCCAAGGTGGGGCTCTCATTTGTTACACGAAAAGCAGTGAGCCTTACCATTACACCATACATGTTTGGGTTTTTTTCTGTACCCAAAGCAGAACTGTTGCATTTCCTTCATAGACCATATTATAGCCTGTGAACCTGTTATCCACAAAGACCTTAAAAGACTTGAGTAGAGTGTGTGTCCCTTGAGAGCAGTTTTGAGACTTTCTATAGCTGTCTCTAAAACCATAGGCTATTTCTATTTCGGGTTTTTTTGGTCTTTTGTTTCAGTACCTTGACTTCTTTGCCAACCCAGTGGTGTTCGTTGCTGTGGGCGTAATCTTTATCCTGTACGTCATTGTTGCCATCATCTGCCGCTACCTTGACCGATTAGATCTCCGCAGAATTTCCAGAATCCCTCTCTGTGGTCGGGATGGTGCCTTCAAGTATGAGATCACCGTTGTGACAGGGCGCCATTATGGATCTGGTGGGTAAAGGTTTTCTTGTCTAGACCAATGCTTTCAAATTGGTGATTTTTAACTTAAGTTAAATATTACACATGTACTCTAACGCTTTGTTTCCTTTCTTTATGTATTTAGTCTAGTGCAGAAAAAGGAATTCAAAAATCTTTTTAAAAGACTAGTGCAGAAAATAAAGGGGAGTTATATGAAAAGTTGAAATATATATTTATGTTCGAGATGCCTTCTTACTCAATTTTTAAAATGTTATACAATATCAAAAGTTGGGGTTTTTTTGTATATAGTTGCAATCGCTGCAAATGTGGTGAGAACTTGTATGTCACAGACTGTGTTCTAATCGGGGTTTGGAAAGAGATACAGGGGTATAAAAGGAGCAGTAGTTCAAACAAGTAGGCCTATCTCTTCCTCTCCCCAGGCACCACAGCCAATATAGGCATCAAGCTATATGGAGACCAGAACAAAGGGGAGGCAAGGCACCTGACTAAACCTGGAGCTTTCCAGCGCAATTGTCGAGACACATTCTATATAGCTCACGATGCAAGCATAGGTAAGTGAGGTGGAGTTTCTAGAACGTCTCCATAATTATATTTGATTGACATTTATCGGGTTGAGTTTTTTCCCCTCAAAAGAGGAGGTGATTATTACGTTCGTTGAAATTGGATACTTTTATTTACTTTTTTAACAGGAGCCTTTTTTGGGTTTTTTGTGTCTGATGTAAATTTGTATTGGTCATCAAGATTTGTCTTATTCACTTTGTTACATGGTTCAATAACGGATCTAGACCGGTGGGATAGACATTTTTGAAGAGCTTGCCGTAAAAATGAATTATTTGTGTCTAGCAGGGAGTTATCCCGTTGAGACCTGTTCTACCAGTTCTAAATTACTCATGCACCAGGGCCCTCTTTTCTCATCTACTACATTTACACCACAGAATGGTAAGCCATGCATTCAGTGGCCTAAAGAGCAAAGTTACTGCACACTTAAGTCAAAAGGGTTAAACCTATACCAAAAATAATAATAGACATAAGTGTGTCAGTTGTAAATAGACATAAGTACGTCAGTTGTAAATAGACTTAAGTACGTCAGTTGTAAATAGACATAAGTGTGTCGGTTGTAAATAAACTTAAAAATGTGTCAGCTGTAAATAGACATTAGTGTGTCAACTGTAAATAGACATACGTGCGTCAGTTGTAAATGGACATAAGTGTGTCTGTTGTAAATAGACATAAGTGGGTCAGTTGTAAATAGACTTAAAAATGTGTAAGATGTTAATAGACATAAGTGTGTCAGTTGTGTAATCAAACCTTGTATGCCACTGACAGGAGAAGTGAACAAGGTCCTGGTGTGGCACGACAATGGCGGTTTATCCCCGTCCTGGTTCCTGTCCCATATCGTTGTGAAAGACGTCCAGACAGGAGAGAAGTTCACATTTTTGGTCAATTCTTGGCTCTCTCTGGAGATGAAGGATGGAGTTGTCCAGAAAACTGTCAAGTCTGCCGGTGAGAATTATAGTCAAATTGTTTTGTTCTCAAATGTTTTCTTGTTCGTTTTTGGTTGTTGTTTTTTTTATTGAAGAGTAGTTACTCAGTGTATGATGTTACTTTTGGAATGTTAGATGCTTATAGTGCAGCATCTTTTTCCATTTTTTCATATCTATGTCTCTGTTTTACGGATTCCAACAATTTAGTGGTTAGTGAGTTCAGGTTGACAAATATTGTAAGACAATGTTGTTGACATTGTTTTTAAGTTGGTGCTCTGGTGTTTGGTCTTGAGCAAGGTATGATGAGCCTAGATAATATGGCATTTTTAAAAGATTTTCTTTTTTGATATGAGCTGTATATTATATAACATAACCTCTGAGCAATTTTTATGTATATATTGCTCCACGATGATATGTGAGGCATCGTGGTGGAATCAGGCACTTGTCAAAATAGTGAAATTAAAGAAATTGGCATTTCTCTGACTATTGGGCAATTTCTTTCGAATTTTCTTTATTTTTCTTTTTTTGGGGGGGGCTCAGCCCCTTTTATATCCATTTAAAAACACATTTCTGTGTGGATTTTACTGAAAATGATTGATTAAAGGCACAATGAATATCAATTTTCAGTTTCAAGGACTCTCAATCTATGGAAATTACTAAATTCTGGAGGCCATTTTCTCGCTAATTTCACCTCTGAAACTAGGCAACCTTGATCTCCTTCAATCGCAAATAGTTCGATTTCTATTCAACATAAATGGATATTTTTTTCACCAAAAGCAAGGCAAATTAATATGCTTTAAGATGATATAAAATAACCCCTTATGCAAAAAAATTGACGATCACCAGATTCCACCAGGTCACGACACATATAGCCTCTGAGTGTTTTTTTTAATGTATATATTGCTCCATAAGGATATAACTTCTGGATGATTTTATTTTTGCATTGCTCTTGGCATTGTGATTCGAATTTCAAGAAAATAATTTATCTTTTTCCTGTACTCCGAAATTGCTTACAAAAAACTAACAATGTTTTGTTTTACTTCTTTCCTCAGACAAGGAAGAGTTACGGAAGTTCAGATTAAAATTCTCCACTGTGTTTCATGGTACGATGTCGGACGTCCATGCCTGGCTCTCCGTTTCTCACAGACCTGACCTCAGCCGTTTCACTCGTGTCCAGAGAGCTACATGTGTCTTTACCACTGTCCTGCTGTATATGTGCATCAATGCCATGTGGTATGGCCTTTTCAAAGATGAGACAGAGGCCAAGGATGACTTGTCATGGGATTCTTTTGGATGGGAGGAAGTAATCATTGCCATTATCTCTACTTTGATGGTCCTTCCGTTTTTAATTGGCCTGTCATTTGCTTTCAAAAAGACAAGATGTAAGGTGAGTTATCACTAGAACTAAAAGGAATGTTAAACTATGTCTCATTGTTAAGACTTGGGGTTTTTTTTTAGATATATTCATTGCACTTATCACTCTTTTAGCTGAAGAGCTGCATCTTTTATTTCTGACCCAATTTTTGAGTTTCATATTGTGTGAAGCATAGTTTTTTGGTGCTGATGAAGATGATCATGTTGTAGATATTATGACTTCAGCTGAAACTTTATTTAAGATAAAAGTGTCTGTGTTGAGTTGTTACTGTGGTGGATTTGATGACAGGCACTGAGTGTTGTAGTTTTCTTTTTTTAAAATTTAGATCTGCTTTGAATTTAGATTTGTTTTACTTTAATGAAAATGCTCAGAGAAGTTTCAATGGCTAAGTAGTCTGCCCTACTAAATTTACAGTTTGGCATTTGTATTAGGGAGTTTTTTGCTCTGTGAAAATCTCTTTTTAGCTCTGTTTGTTGAAAAGATCAGATAAGGCATGCTTAATTGATCCTCCATGAGAAAACAATTGTCTGTGTGCTTTCACTGGGTCTTGCTACCCTAGATATGAATATAAACCCAAAACTGTTTGAACAGAAGGGGAATATTAGCAATGAACTTTTACAACCCTTTGATTTTCTTTTAATAGTTTGCATATATACCCATCTTTCTGTGGTAGACACAAGTCATGCAAGAAATAGATCAATATTCGAGAGACTTGGGGGGTGTCACTGGTTGACCCTACTTTCTTTCTTTCTCGCTATTATTTCTGCTTATATGTATGTTGCTTTTTTCTTTCACTAAATGATGACTATCACGTCAGTGTGGTTCTCTTTAGTTAACTGCATCAAATTGAAGATGAGAATTATTGTGGGACGTGAAGTCGGGACCTGGAGCTGGAAAAAAACTTGTTCTACTTTCAGGACTCCGTGTTTCAAGAGGTGCGTCCCAGCACTGCCCAGACCTTGGAAATTGAAGCTATGTGTGACTTGTCGGGAGACGGAGGTTCTTACCGGACAGTGACGCCACTAGGCGAGTGGGTGACTGCAATTGACAGAGAGAGCACAACCGATTCTTTTGCTGTGAGTTTCTGCAGAATTTCTTTCATCTTCATTTGCTATTCACCCCTTTTTTTAAGGTAACGTGAATTTGTGTGTTCTAGACATTTTTTTTTATTATTAAAAGTGAGTAGGGCCTACTCTTGCAGTAACCTTTGTGAGTCTGTACATTCTGTATTTTACCCAGTCTCAGCTCTCTGTAATGACCACTGAAGCATAGTTTGTAATCCTGACCAACATGATTAAGTTGATAATCCATTTTCAGAAGGGGAAAAATTGGCATAACATTTCGAAAACAAATGTCTGGTCAACTTTTATTCCATCTGCTCTTTTTCTCGTCATTAAGTTTACTATTGTCTAAACCAAGACCAGAAGTTTCTATTTCATCAAGTGTCTTCTCTGTCTGCTTTGATCTCTCTAACATACAGGATTGAAATACCTGGTCTAAAATATGACCTTTATAGTGTCAGTGGAGGTGCAAAACGGTTACAATTGTTTGTTGTCCTAATATTTGATAAGTTATGAAATCTACTGACTTTGTGTATAATACAAGAAACATAATACTCGTATATATAGATGTTAAAAAGAAATGTTCTGCAACTCGCAGGTACCTGTGGGCTTGAGGAGAACCGTGCCCATGCACCGCGGATTACGGAAAGGTAGCTCTGACATCTCCATAAGAGAAAGACCCCCAGTGGAAGGTGTTGGTGGAAAGAAGGTATTTATTTTCGCCTTTTTTCAGCTTTTATTTTACTTCCCTGCATATTCTTTCCTTTGTTTGCGTTTTGAAGACAGAAAGTTTTTTCAAAACAGATGGTCTTATAAAGCAACCTGCAATGCTACTGAACTGTGTGCAGGCTACTTTTGTATCTGTGATCTACTGTGCCTCGTAAAAACGGTCTTCACGGAGATAAACTGTGTCATGTGGAATTTAAATTTAAATGTATTAACTGCATTTTCCTCAATAATCATACCGTAGATATTTATTCTTTTTTTTTTTTTCAAATTTTACTTCATAAGACAGGATTCCAATCTGTTTCTTTTTTAAAGTTGTTTTAATACTTACTTCTCATAAGGTAAATGTCCGTATTGTATTATCTTATAAAAGCCATCCCAACTCAGCAATCATGTGAGCATCTAGTACAGGAAAGTCAAGGCTGGTGACAGAAGTGGGAAGTGCATATTTTTGCCTACTATCTGGATTGTACTTTGTTAAGCTGAAATCCAATGTATAGATTTGACTCGCACATGAGCAAGGCGTTACAGGTCTAGCTTCTGGAAATAGATATTACTTTTTTTTTAGAGCATACCCTGATAGTCTAAGAAAGTTATGTTAAAGAGGTGTATAATTGAAACTCAGCACTTAACTTTTTTTTAGTTTGTTGTGGCTGGGTTGATAGGTTATATGAATAGGTTCAATCAGGTTGTGTCATGCTGAGTTATGTTGGCTTTCTCCATCAGGAGCTCTGGACAACTGACAGCATCATGCAGAGCTGGCCGCATCGGATGCCCACCTGGATCAAGCAGGTCAAAGCCGAGGTGAAAAGCGGAGACACATCAACGATGTCACGCCCTAGCATTGAGCGAGGGAGTACCACCACCTCAAAGCGTAGCAGTCGCTCTGCTAGAACATTCCAATCAGGCACAAGGGTAATTTTTGTAAAAATGTAGCCGATTTTATTTTTAAAATGTCTTCGATGCCAAACTCATTCTTAATTCATCATCAGTATAATATGTTTTTGTTTGAACAGCCACAAAGATTTAGCTTGGTGTGAAGCTTACCGAACATGGAAGTAAGATATCATTAGAATACCTTTTCACTACACGGTTAAGCTCCCACAACTTATTTTCAGTATGGTGTAGGAACATTGGGGGATTTCGAATAAGATATGGGTCCTGTAGGAAATTTTAGACTTTAAAATTTTATATACTTCATTAATATTTAGTGACTGAGGTAGGCCTACCACCATTCCATTTAATATGTAAAAATCAACGTAATTTGTGAAAACCTCAACTATTTTCTTAAAACACATTTAGGAGATGCATTCGTAGTAAATTAAATATTTCACTTTCCTGTCTAAACTTTGTCTCTATCTACTCCATCTCTAGAGCTATGAAGACAGTGATGAGGACTTCCAGAAGAAATTGGATGAAATTGATGCTGAGTTGACTCGTTCAGAGGAGAGGAAGCAGAAGAAGAGGAAGAAATTAGAACGGAGGTGAGGACTGAACACTGCTATAATTTTTCACTCGCAAATGGCTGTGTCTCTAAAGATAAAGAAGATGTGTCTTTTGGCTTCACCCTTTCCTCAAGGTCTAGCCCTAAATTTTAATTGCTGCCCTCTTAAAAGCCACAAATAAGCACTAAAAGTGAAGCTGCAGGGCTGCCTATCATTATGAATTTGGCGGAGTCATTACGATTTTTTATTCAGTTTTACGAAAATACAATTGTAATACCCCTGATTCCGATTTTTTAAAATTTTGGCTACCACAAACTAGTGAATAAAGAGAGAAAAAACACCAGACCTGAACAGTTTACGTCAGTATATCAGGTGCAACTGTTGAACTTTAACATCCTCTTTGCACTCTCCCTGTAGTCACTCCGTGCCACTTTACCCTTAGAAAAACATTAGACTTCGGCAAACATTAGGTTGACAAGATCATGGAAAATCACTGCCCTTTTGTGTTTTGGATGACAGCTTAGGCCAATGGGATTTGTTTTTCAATGATCATTGTTTAAAACTTGATACAATGGAACAATTAGCCACAATGGGTGCCTGGCATGATGTGTTGTGATGCACAATTGGGATCAAAGGCTTGTGATGTATTTTATAGTTCCAAAGGTTTCCTTTTGCTTTTGCTAACAGTAACTCCCTCCGGCGGCCTTTTTTTTTCTTACCTCAATGATGACAAGCCCAGAAAGACCACTTTTTTTCATCATGTCTTTGTTTTCGTTACATTTATACTTGACTACTATAACCCCTCTCCTTCACACCCAAGGGAGAAAGACTGTCTAAGGCCAATTTACGAATTTTTAAGCCAGATTACTATTTTTCTAGTTGTTGATTACTAAAACATAATATATGCTGATTTTGGGCAGCCCTAAAGTTGTTTAGGCTGCCGAAGTTGACATTTGCAGCAGCCCTTATGTTTTTGCCGCTAGGCACCCTAATATGTTATCTTTTCATCACATTTCAGGTCATAATACCTTTGTTATTACACAATCTTTTCAATCGTTTATCATTATCGTTTTTCAATTTTCCAGACTGAGAAGCAGAAACACTGATGAGTTGTTCGACTCTGATGATGACTGGGTTTATGAAGGTCTGGAAGATTACAACGAGGACAGTTTCAGCAGCAAGCCCAGTCAGTTCAACCCACGCACGGAGGCAGAGCTGGCCCCTGGACCTGAAAGGTTAGATGGAAATGGATCTGTCTGTTAGAGGACACCATTTTCCTGGAAATCTCCAGAACCCTGGATATATGAAAATTCTCAGTGGGTTTGGGGTTGTAGCTTACTGCAGGAGGTAAAACAACTTTGATGTTAGAGAAAACAACATAAACACGTATACATAAATATCCATTTATTTTTCTTTATTATTTCTGTACTTTAACTGGAACCATTTGTAAGTGCATAAGTTTTCTTATCGTTTTGTGCGTAGGATAACTGCATTCATTATAGTTTTGTACTTCATAAAACATTTCTAAAAATGTTTTCTCATTCAAAATATAGTCAAAGACCTACCCAAACACTGAAACTACCCTGAAGGATTGTAAATGAATGTGTGTTCCACCATTTATTGATTACAAGGGCAGGGAAAAAAGCATAATTTATTTCGCTCATTCAAAAAAGTAGCACACAGGGACTAAATATGAGACTTTCTGCATTCATGAAAGCAACATGAGGATTATTAGTTGATCTATGCTTTGTCAAACTCTATATGTATTTACAAAACAAAGCTACAGTAAGTCTTAGCATTCAGATAACACAATATGACTCACAATCACAAGCTTACATTCAGACCTGCACACATAAACATACACACTCACACACTCTCCTCACACATGTGCATGACTGATTTAGAAAACTGAACCTTTGACAGAAATGGCTCAGGTACCAGTGCAGCCCACCAGAATGGAAGTTTGCGTGTGGCTGAATCTCCCAGCAGCCGCAGAAAAGAACAGCCAACTGGCTGGAGGGACGGGCACAGGCCTAGTGTTATCTCCTCCACTTCCAAATCCAGGAGCACCTTGTCGGACAACAAAGGTGAGAAAGAGTAAAGTATAGTAAACTTCTAGTGTTCAGCTATCACATAACTAGCAACATCTTGCAACAAGAAATCGGCTAAGATTTTTAAAGATTTCATTTTTTTTAAAATGATTTTTCTTTTTAGAGGGGGGGGGGGCATGCGTAGAATGTTCTCCTAAAATGTATTACGATTAATTGTTAATGTAGATCTACTTCAATCTAAGTTGACAAAATTGAAAACCTCTGCCCTAGAATTTTAATGTAGATAGTATGTTTTTTAGTGAATGGTAACACTTTTCTACCTACTGTGTATTCTTAGTAATGTATATGGCAATGACATGAGTCACCAATAGGTAGCTAAGTAAGTCAACTAATGCTGTGATTCTTTTTGTCTTTTTTCTTGTATCACATAGTTCATCCTATCCTATCTGGTGTTGTGTCATCTTCCTTTTAGGTCGTGGGAGAACTCTTAGCACCATTTCCCAACAGCCTGAGCCAAGTGAGAGCAATCCCAGGTTTTCACTGCCTCCCTGGTGTGTGTACGTGACATACACAGTGTGCGTTGTGCTGTGCGTTCTGTCCGTCATCCTGATGCTGCTCTATGGCTACAACTTCGGCACCGCCATCTCACTCAAGTGGCTCGTCTCACTTTTCATCTCCGTCTTCCTTTCCATCCTCATTATTGAGCCGTTGAAGGTAAGACATTTGTATTTCTGCTGACATCTATTTGTTGCTTTCCATTTCAAATATATGGATTTTACTTTGTGTATGCATGTGTGTGTTTGTGTGGGGGGGGATGGGGGTTAAAATCAACATGAAAGTGCATCTATTTTCTCAGCCATCATATCATAATATTGTTTCTTATATTTTTTTCTCCTTTTTCACGTATAAATAAATTGGATATTTGCTGAAGATGGTACAGCAATATGTTCCAAGAAGAGAAATGCCTCATGTCTCTTATAAGTGGCAAGATACATCTTTATTGTCCAGATCCTCTCACATTGCTTTCTTTTTTCACCACACACACACACACACACACACACACACACACACACACACACACACACACTCACACACACTCGCACACACACACACACACACACACACTCAAACAAACATGCACACTCACACGTATAGGTTAATAACAAATTCAGCACAGTTTGGGTAAACTAACGGAAAGTTATGTCACAAGAATGGTTTTTGTTAGAATATTAAAGTTTCTTAAAGCAAGAGTTGACAATGGCTTCAAAATCTGTGACTTCAGCATTACAGACAGGGCGTTTTAAAAATCACATTTTCGGGGGGAAATTACTTAAGCAGCCTGGAATTTATTGGGTAATGATGAAGATTTTTGTCTAGCACGCAAAAAACAAAAATTTGGTTCCCCCATGGAGAAAATATTTTTAGAGTCTCTGTGCCTTTCTACTGGGATTTGTAACATTAGGAAGAGCACTCTTTGCGGAATCAGAGCTGCTTCATTTTGGTCACACTATTTTTCAACTGAGTGAAGTCTTTTCTCCATGTTCCTTGCCATCTGAAGTCCGTCATCTCCGTGCTCGTATGCCATTATGTCATCCGCAAAGCTCAGGACACTTCCTGATTCCTTCTGATGCATCGTTATCTGTGCAGTGTACATATTGAAAAGCAAAGGAGAGAGGGGAGATCCTTGGGGCAGTCCTGGAGCATTTGATACCAGATCTGAAGTCCATTCACCCTGTCCCAGGGGCATTTTTCTCCCCATTAGGGCTACTACTACCCATCTCACCAGCCATATGTCCACATCAAATTCCAGGAGGCGTTCGATCAAACATTCATAGTCGACTCAGTTGTAAGTATCCTCAGGGTCAAGTGCCGTCACAACTGTTTCCTTCCGCTGCTGAAAGCCTTCATAGATGTCGTACGCCATAACAGCCGCATTCACTGCAGTTTCTCGATGGGGTCTATAGCTGCCAAGCTCATTTGGCAACAGGGACTTCCTCTCTAAGTGTGCTGATATTTTTCTGGCAACTATCGTTTCCAGAATTTTCCCATAGGTGTTCTGCATGGCTATGATCCTGTAACCACTGAGAGCCGAGTGGTCTTTTCCAGGTTTGGGGATTGGTATCTACCAATTGTGCAACCATTCTTCAGGGATTTTACCAGTGCCAATGCTGTTGTTGAAGTCTTTTGTCATTTCTTCAATCATCTCATCGTCTGCTTCTTTCATGTGGCAATATCTTACACCCTCCGGCCCTCCAGCTCTGTCTTTGGCATGTTTTATTGTTCTGAAGACCTTTTCTGTAGATATCTCATCCTCGTGGTTTGCATACATGTCTGGTTTCAGCTCACTGGAAACATCTCTTTCAACTTCTTTTCTTGAGTCAATATTTCCCTGGTGTGTTTGATGTATGAATCGGTCTTAGAAAGCCCTTCCTAGAGTGCTCTTCCTAATGTTGCAGCTGGTCATCCTGTCTGTCATTGATTACGAATTGGGCTGTCTCACTCTGTCCGATACACAGATCGCAAAGCTGGATCGAGTACAGAATGAGGCAATGACAGCAGTGCTGGGCAGCATCTAGGACACTCCAATATTGGGCATGCGCTACTTGCTTGGTTTAAGTGGCATCAGAGTACACCATAGGATAGCTCGATTATAGATGTATCTCAGTGTAATGGGCAAGAAGGATCATCTACTTCACAAAGCACTTCATGACAACAAGAGAGGCAGATTGAAGAGAGGAAAATCTTGGATGGCGGAAGCAGAGGATTCCCTGAGAAAAATCTGTGTACCTGAGAGCCTACCACTTGGCGAAGAATGGGAACAGGTGGCAGGAGAGTACAGGGACCTCACTAAGGTCAAAATAAGCATGGGCAGAGACAGAAGAAATGTTGCAGCTTGCATCAACGAGAGCGATATCAACAAGATTGTTGACACAAACTCAAAAGCAGGGGATCTTGTAATTTATACAGATGGTTCAGTGAAAAGAGATAACCAGCAAAGTGGATGGGGATTTGTTGCATTCGCCAACAATAAAATCATACACAGTGCATCTGGAGCCTGCAGCACGGCTACATCAAGTATGCGAATGGAAATTGAAGCCATCATGAAAGCACTTGATTAGATGACCCAAGATCGCCCTCACACAACCCGTGCTGTTCTTATTACTGATTCCATGTGTACCCTCAGAAGGATCGAAAAAGGTTTCCTGAGAACAGAATGGATTCAAGTTATTGAAGCAACGCCTATATGATCGCTCACATGGATTTTCTGCCCTGGCCATGCAGGTGTTAAGGGAAATGAAAAAGCCGACAGACTGGCTGGTGAGGCCACCTCAGTTGACAGCACGGTTCAACCAGATAGGGTCGAGATCCTGAAATGTCTCTCTCACCAGCTAATTGAAGAGGAAGATAGGGAGGCAGAGGCCAGTACTCCCGTGAAGAGGATAATGCTTTTGGGAATACAAAAAAGAAGCGGAAAATCTGGCATCCTTGCAGGAAAGAACAGAAGAATATTCAACCAGATATGCACTGGCACAATCAGTGGAAAGACCCTCGTCGACATTTTGGAGAGAGCAACGGAGCATCAATGGACATGTCTGAAGTACAGGGATGTTGCTTCCTGAAACAATGAACAATGAACTGGGATTTGTTCCACTCAGGCCTGACAGATATGAGTGAAGTAATCTAAAATAATCTAATTGTGTTGATAAGGATGCGTAACATTTACATCAAATTTACAGCAATGCGTCAATGTAGAAGCTCTCATTTTTTGACTGCTCACTCTTCCCACAGGTCCTGCTGATCTCTGTTATTGTTGCCCTCATCACCAAGGACGTCAGAGACGATGATGAAGGAGATGTTATAAACATCAAACCCTCAGTGGAGTCCAATGAACAGCTCAAGGTATAAATGTTCAGAGTGTGAAGCAGTCAGTCCTGCATATTTAGATCAGATCAGTATTTTCCTACTTTTCATATGAGGGATACTTCTAAAGGGTAAATAGAACAAAAGAAGTTGTACAAACGTGAATGGAACTTCACTAAAAAGAAAGTAGTTTGGACATTCTTAGTGCATACCATGTGGACACCTAGTGTTATTTCTAATTATTATGTCAACTTGTTATGTTTTAAAAATGAATAAAATTCTTTCATTTCTGTCTGCTTTCTGATGGAAATTCTACAGCCTTGTTTTAAAAACCTCTTCATAACTGCACAAACATTACTGAATTTCTGAGATCTTTGAAATACACAGCAGAAAAACAGTCTTCATTGTTTTATTTTCCAGCTGTAACAGGATTGTTTAGTCATAGTCAGGTTAAGAAAAAGAAAAATGTTACAAAAATATAATTTTTATATTTATCCTCTTTAAAAAACTGGGTTTCAAACGCAGGTACATAAGATAAGTCAGAAGTTAGATTGTGGTTACATAATACAAAGATATCACTCTAGTGCAGGCTATATTACAAAATATAACATTGCTGGCACCCTGTTTTTGAGCCACAGTTATCATGTCTCACTCAAGGTCACACCCCTGTGACTACACCCCCTACAAACTATGCCACCGGTACAACTTGACCGTATTTGTGAACCTGAGCTGACTAACTACTCAATCTTTGACGAAGGGGTGAAATGTGTCTTCCTTGTATTTGATATAATGGCTAACAAACTTATTGCTTTCTGTTACAGGATATCAAATTCCGTCCGCTTGGTGGTTTTGCTCTTCTCCAAGCCAAGGAGGAAGGCAAGAGGAAACAGCGGCTACACAAGATGTTGCGAGAAGTGTTCATGTTCACTCTGATGCTGGCTCTCTTCATGGCGATCGTCTTTGTCAACTACAGCAGCCGTACCATGTACCACGCCAGCAACAACATTGAGACCAAGTTCTACACCAGCGTTGATGGAAGCACAAATGGCCTCAACTTCACAAACATGAGAAGGTATTTCAAAAATGAACTCAAAGTAAACATTTATCATCTTGTATCCTCTGCTATGAAAAACTCACTAGAATTTATAAAAGCTTCCCTTGCCAACGAATTTATTCTATATTATTATTATTTACCATCTCACTATCCCAGGGTATGAAAAGTATAGCAGCCTGTCAGGCATATATTACTATTTTTATATTTTCACTCTCAACAAAGTGTGTACTAATTTCAGCCAGGTGAATTGAACACTAATTACCTGTAATTAAGGATATGCCAACTCCATTCATTGACACTCATGAGTTGAAAAGGTTTAAGAATGTTCTTATTAATGTTTGATAGTGAATTTCAACTTTTCATTTGATAAGAATGTTTAAAGCAACAGATTTTTGTCTTTGTGCAGCATCACTGACTTTTGGCAATGGTCTGAGACTGTATTGGCCCGATCCCTTCATTTGCAAGATCTGAGTTCAGATGAAAGTTTTGGTTACCTTCTTGGTCCAGCTTGGATGAGGCAGATACGAAGCAAGAATGGTATGAGTTTACAGATACCATTTCATCTTTCTCTTTCTCTCTCTCTCTCTCTCTTTCCTTTGCCCTGTCTCTTTCTCACTCTGACTGTTTCTCTTTCTCTGTCTCTCATTTTCATTCTCTCCTTCATCTCTTGTTTGTCTCCTCACTTTCTAATATATTTGAACGATCTTTGAAAATTGTGTTCAAATCATGAGTGCACACATAGATCTAGGAGAAGGGCCTAGGAGTAATGGAATATCATGCTTAGCCAATGATAAAATTGGCAAACTCAATCTGAGAAAAAATAACATATAAATAACTGTAAGAGAAATACAGCACAGCATAATTAGAGACTCAAGATAATTTCATATTTGATCGTTTCCATCACAATCATCATTGTAAGAAAAAGATTATTAGACGCAGTAACTCCCGTTGAAAATTCAGTGAAATGTATTTTGTGTGTTTCTTTAAAGTGAATGGTAGATTTGACTATTTCCAAGGAAACTGAAAAAAGGGAAAAATTGGGATCAAAACTGATGTTTATTTTAGTCTTTATTACAGCTTAAAAGTTAGCCTCCTTTACAGCTTTATAAAAGGTTTCACAAGAGGCTATATTGCTGTTTCAACATCTGTTTACTTTAATGCTTCAGTTGGCACATGTAACTCAGAGAAGCTGAACTTTATGAGCAGATGCATAATGCACATATTTGTTATCTGAATAAAAACATTGATCCAAAAACCAACTCGTGTATTAGGTGCCTCTCAGAAAGCAGGAAAGCTCAAAGGAACGTTTGTATTTCAAGTGAATTCACTACTCATCTGTGGTGTTGATTAGGCTCTTGGACTTGCAAATGTTAGGTCTTGGGTTCAAATCCCATCAGGTTCACGGCGTTGTGTCCTCGGAAAAGACACTTGACATAAATTTTCCACCCTTCACCCAGGTGAGAATGGGTACCCAGCTACCGATAGCAAAAGATCTTGTCTGTTTGTTAGTGTTTGCAGCAAGCACTGTATGCTTCTCGGGAAGCGGAGAATGTTTCTGAGTGTTCTACGGTCTGCTGGGGTAATGATAGGTAAAGCACATAGAGCATGCTGCTGAGTGTGGAGATATATAAATGAAATGATTATTAGTATTATTATTACTCAGAATTCTACTTGCTTTCTCATGCTAGCTGTCTGCTCATAGTTTTGAATTACCTGTTTGCTCATAAACTCAAATAAATTTTTACCTTATAATTTTGAATTAGTTGTCAGCAATGACAGCTCAAGAATTTCTACTACATGCAGTTGTCAGCCGATATATCTGAACTTGTGTGTTTTCAGTGTCGTGTACCGCAGCGTCAAGTATTGCTATGTGGTCAGTGCCAACGCTGACACCGGATCGTTGTACTGATGATGGCACCAGTGACCCTGACACTGCTGACTATAATATTGGCTGGGTGTCGCCAGGGATAGCTGGAGCTAACTGGACATACTCCTCTTGTGGACAACTGGATTTGTAAGTACTGAGCTCTGTAAGATTATGCAGTAAAGGTACATTTTAGTGATACTTTCAAAAGATATTTAAATCATCTTACTTTTTTTTCAACTTCAGTTTTTACTTTGACTCAAATTTTTGTTTTTGTTCTTTTATCATTCCTTTCCTTATATTTCAATTAAAGTGAATTATATATGAAATATATTTAGGGAAATAATTCTCATTTTTTAAACTTCAAGAGAAGTGAGAGAAGCTGGCTGTAAGTTCTAACAGAATCAAAGTTTATTACAGAACGGTTTATATGAGTGTGGAAGTGTTTTTTTAACTTTAAGTAAGAACATTTATGTGTCATGGTGAGACAGGTCTCCCTTTGTGAAGCAATTAGTCTACAATCTTAACCAGTTTCCCCCCTCCCTCCTCCTCTTTGTCGGAAAAACCAGCAACACTTTCTATTAGTGGATGTTACAAGCAGTAGAGTGCAAAAAACTAAAGTATATTAATAAAGGATATTACTTATTTTTTAATATGGAATATTTTCGTGAGAATATTTGGAGAAATAATCATGACAGATTGACAGAGTCTCTGAGAATAAAATTGTTTTCCTCTTTCACTGCAGATATTCTAAATTTGGTTGGTCACTGTTTTACCCTGGTGGAGGCTACGTCCAGACCTTGGGACAGACCTACAATGACACACTGGCAACCGTACAGAAGCTTCATTCAGAGGGCTGGCTTGACTTACTCACGCGTGCAGTGATGGTGGAGTTCTCTCTGTACTACCCTAGTGCTGACCTCACCTCCTACATTACGCTCATCATCGAGTTTCCCATCTCAGGTGACGAGCTGAAGCTTTTCATTTTGCTCTAATCCATCCATGTTTGTTTTTCAGAGTTAAACAAAACATGTTCACTTTATAATGATTACTTAGCGCAAGGGGAAAAAAAACAACCAATGAATGGGATCAGCTGAGGGATGTTAAGAAGATGTGCTTGCCTTTCTTTTTCTTTTTCCCCCTTTTTTTGTTTAAATAAAAAAGAATTTCATGAACACAAATACAATTATTTAGAGCTAAAAAAGGGCAGGACAGACTGACAGGAACTTATAATGAATTTGTAAGATACACCAATAGTACTCTTCAACAACTGTGTTTTATTTGTCACTTTCTATATTTTGTTGTCCAGAGGTGCTTCACCAACAGAAAACTTAAAGTTTTGATAATACTCATTTGCAGTTATATGAACGTTAAAGAGTTCTTGACATATTCAAATTATGAAATTGCAAGTGTTTGACCATATTTGGGTCAAAGTGTTTATCATTTTGTTGTCAATGCATATGAGTACTGTTAAAATAGTCTTGGAAAAAGTTTATAGTTATACTGTATCTCTCCCCTTTTCTTTTAATGTCTTTTTCATTCTCTTCCTCTCTCTTTCAAACTCTTTTTCACTCATTCTTTCTGTGTTTACCTAAGTGCTGACATTATTTAGATGTAAATACTTATGATCTGCACAGAGACTGATATTTTAAAAAGATTTTTTTTAAAGCCTCAAAATCATACACATAAAAGTTCAATGTACTATGTTTGCTTCTTTTCTGCAAGGTGGTGTCCTGACAAGCTACTCCATCTACACAGAAAAGTTTTTGAGGTTCATCCCGGGAGTGGTAGAGCCTCTGCTTGTCTGTCAGGTGAAGATTTCCCAACCCTTTTCTTCCTTTGTCAGTTTATGTGTGTTCATTTGTGGCTGAGCATGGAGAGATTCTTTTGCTTGTTTAAGCTGTTTTGGGAATTGTGTTTAGAGAGTGGAAGCTGCTCAGCCAAAGAGATCTATATCATATTTTAAGGAGGGGATGATATGGTCTTTGAGTTATGTGCTTTGTTAGACACAAATAGGTCATTTTCGCATTTAGATAGATTTTGTTTTAAAACTGTTACTTAATGTAGATCTTAGAATTTAAAAAAGCGAAGAAGAGATGATCCATCAAAGTAAACATTGCTAAAATGCATCTGAGCTGAGCATAGTCATGTGTGCTATTTCACAATTAGAAGGTTTGAAGTTAATTTTGTGTGTGTGCGTGTGCGCGAGTGTGTGTGATGATTCTTCTTCTTTTTTTTTGGGGGGGGGGGGGATTTAAGTCGACATTTGTCATTAGTTTTTAATAATTGGGTTTTGTCTCAATGCAAGAAGTCATTTATATCTTTACAGTGTTTTGAAAAAAACTGTTTTACACCTGTTTAAAGCCTTTCTGAAGTAACGTTAAGTCTTCGATAAACTTGAATTTAAAACATTTTCTCAGGCTTACAGATCAGATGTCTATTGCTTGAACTTACCAAGACTTTTTTGGGTCGTCGCATGTTTTTATTTTCCCTGAAAGAAACTTTATGAGTGTTACCTTTCTTCTGCATTTGTATACTTCATGGCTTATTATCTTGTTTCGGGGTACAGAAGGAGAAGTTTATGTTTTCTTTTTTATCCACAGGTTTTCTTCTCACTGTTTGTGCTGTACCTAACCCTAGTGCTCCTGCAGCGTCTGAGAGCTGAGAAACTGAAATTCTTCTCATATTTCTGGAACTGGATGGACAGCATAACATGCTTTTTGGCGTGGCTGAGCTTGGCTCTCTACGCAGGGTGTGTTGCCCTAGCAACAAAGAGAATGGATGCCTACTTCGCTGACACATCTCGTCCATCGCGGCTTGGGCAGGTGGCTGTGCTGCATGCGGTGCTTCGCTGTGTGCATGCTTGCCTCTTGTTTTTGTTTGTACTCAAGGTATGCTTTATGCTCATCACTTCTCACTTTAAATTTTGAAAACTGCTTAACTCTAGCAGAGGGAATGCCGACAGTTTAGATATGTCATGAGGCTCTACATTGAGGATAATTCTGGCTCTCATCCTCATCAAGGTGTTCTTAAAATAGGTTATTTGGAACGAGTTTTCATGGCTGCTCTTCCTCTTTGATTGATCTTATGGAAGATGGACATCAAAGTCTCTAACCTCACAGATTTTACAGGGATTTGAAATCCGTACCGTGCTATACTTTTGCAAGAAGACAAAGTACTTTCGTAATTGTCGAATCTGAAATCTCAGGCCGAAAAATTATCGTTTTTAGGATCATGTTGAAATAGGTAATTATTTCCCCTTTATTTCTGTATATAATACATGTGGCTAATATTGAAAATTGAACAAAAAAATCTTTAATATGTCCGGCAGTAGGCAGAATCAGAAAGTAGGTCACAGATAGGGCCCGGTCCAGGTGAGGAAAACCCCGCAGTAGTGAAGGAGTTAAAACAGGAATTAAAGACTTTAAATCAGGGTAATGAAGAAAAATAAATGTTGGGACTTAACAACAGACCTAATAGAACTAACGAGTGAACATTTTTAAACCTATGGGTCTCAGGGAAGAAAAAAGAGGTTTTAAGATTTTACTCAAACTTTTAAAAAAGACAACCTCTTTTGCTCAAGTCTTCAGATGTTGCTACAGAGAGCTGAGATATAACGGGCTTAGAGTTAATGCCAGGAGAGACCTTTTTTTTTTACTTTCTAAGTTTAGCTTCCAACTAGGGACATGTTATTTTAAAGGTGCAGCTAAGTGCCGAAAAGGAAGAAAGTAAATAGAAATGAAGTACCCAAGTAAAATATCACATGAAAACATTAACTGAACTCCATGTTCATATGTGATTTTCTAACATTAGAATAGTTGCACTTCACACTTAAAAGCAATCCTAGGCGGGGAAAAAAAAAAGGGGGGGGGGAGGAGAAATGAGTGTATCTTTTTGTGGGTGTAAAGTTTTTAAAAATATATAGTCTTACTACTTTTCTTTTGTAGTGGGAAAACATAAAACTTTCTGTGTCTGTACCAAACTGACTGTAATGTTCATTATGGAAGAAAGCTTCAAAAGGAAACTGTTTTATTATAGACGTACCATTTAGACTGCCATAAGTACTTGCTTTGTACTGTGGAAAGAAAGAGTTCGTGAAAGATTGTAATGAATAAATGACAAAATTTGACTTCATTTTTCTAAATATTCTGTGCAGTTGATCGGTAAGGGAATATTTATTTGTATTTGCATGGTCAATGCTTTGTCACTCTGGTATGAATGTTTGTGATGGTTATGGATTTTTCCTTCTTCACTTTGTCAGTGAAAAGCATGACAAAAGAATATTTCACCTGTACTTTATTTTCAGTCATTTTAGCGTGGCAGATTTTTTTTCATCTTTTTTTTCCATTCCAGTATGTTAGACAATTGTTATTTGTACTTGAGCACAGTTTCGATGGTATGTGATGATGAACTATCAAATCGTATTTGTCCTACCACTTGTTTCACATTCTTGACTTTCAGTTCTGTTTAATTTTGTTTATTCTAGAAGTTTTGATTTTGACTTTGCCTGTATTCACCTTTATTTTAATTGATAACAATGCATGCTAGTTTTCAGTTTTCAGTTTATTGTTTCCAGGTTGTTGTTTTTTAAAATTGTTTTGGAATCTGTAAGATTCTACGTCGTTCTCATTACTTGTTGTTTTATATTTATCTCTTTCTTTTCTTAACACTTTGTGGTCACTTGGCGCAATAACACGCCGGTGAAAATTATCCATTCCGGTCACCTGGCCCGAGAAGTCCGTTGCAGTTACTCTCCTGGCTGGGTGACCAGATGGGGTATTTTGCACTGCTGGTTGGGTGACTGCAAAGTGTTAAAGCAGTAATTATTTTTTTGCTTGTGTTTATTTATCAAGTACAGAATGAAAATTCAATTGATTGAAAGTTAACGATTCTTTCGTTTGTGGGTTTCTTTCTAACAGAGAATTATATTTTAATTAGTTGTAAGTTGTTAAGTGATTCAGTGCTTGGAAAGAGTGTTCACTCATTGCTAGTTTTTGCACTTGAGCTGCCAATGCATTCTTCCCCTTTATTAGCGTTGTACTAGGTGCGGGCTAGTTGGGTCTAATGTCCACAGCTGGTGTTTGTGCATGCATGTAAGGTTGGTGGTGCTGAGCACATCAGAACACATTGCTGAAGTGATCAAATCTGGGTCATAAATTTATATGTGTTTTCCTACACTATGATATGTTACTGTAAAGAACTATAATAATGGCATTAGGATGATTGCATCAATCTTTTTTAAACTACTGTTTTCTTATAAAGCTTGCCTGATATGTTGTCAGTAATGATATAATACAGAATTTGTATTCGAAAGAACATGTGGATTTGAAAACTGGGCAAAACATCAGATATGTCTCTTAAAGAAAAATTCACCTTGTTGATCAAACTCAGAAAATTTTTGGAAAGACACTGGAAAAATCCAGACTTAATTGCTCATGATGCTCCCCTCATCAGTATAACATAAGTCATTTTATCGATGGGTTTGTTTGCTAGGGTATCAGGTAGGCTCATTCTTTTGAGTTAGATGACTTTTGCCTCTGCTATATCGTTATGTCCTTACTTTGACCTTTTCTTTAACTTTGTTGGATAAACTGAAAACCATGATATCAACGCGTTCTCTATTGACTGAACATTTCAGATTGTGAAGCAAGTCCAGTTCAGTCGTCCTCTTTTCAAGTTCTACACTACCCTCTCCACCGCCAGTGGTCCTCTCCTGGGTGTGTTCATCATCTTTGTCATTCTTCTGCTCACTCACGCTCAGTTCGGCTACCTGGTAAGTTTTATTACTTGTCTGAATGGGAAAGGTATTTCTCTGCAAACAGATTTTGTTTTTGAGTTTGAATTTGGTTTCACATGGGTCGGACACTATACTAGATATAGTCAAACACAAAGCATAGTATCACTTGGGTTGGAACTGACACGCGGCGTGAAAATATGCCTCCCCCGTGAAAGCTTAGAACATTTAATCAATTTGATTTGATCTTTCTTGGTGTGCAAGGGCAGATTATATCCCTAAGGAGAGGATGTAAGTACTATAATTTTTATCACTGAGATCATTGAAGCCATGCTCTAAATAGTCTGTCAAAGTTTGAGTTACATTTTCTACTTCTATAGCAGATATTCATTGTCAAGTCAAGCACTACTGGTATATAATATATATATGTCTCACAACGCAGTGAAATCATAGGCGCTCTTCAATTTTTGGCGTGGTTATGTTTGTTATCATCTAAAAGCTTATTTATTTACCTTGCTTCCAATGAAAAAAATACCCCTGTATCTTGAACAGAAATCGAGATATTTACAACTGAAGGGGGTGGGGTCGCGTGGCTTCAGTGTTAGAAATATCGAGAAAACGGCTGCCGAAGTTCTGTAACTTCAATAGCATGACAGCTGTTGAAAAGGGCAAAATTGCATATTTTGTGCCTTTAATCAAGGTTTTTCAGTCAAATTGACATGGAAATGTGTTTTTGTTGGATATAAAAGGTGTTGAGCCAAAAACAAAATTCGATGAAAAATGCCCAACTGATGGAAAAATGCCTGTTTCTCCGATTTCATTATTTTGACGAGCGCCTGATTTCACCAAGATGCCTCACATAAATATATATATATATATTTCATTTTATCCATTCTCAGATCTATGGATCTCTCATATATGGCTACCACAGTTTCCAACATTCCATGACATCACTGTTTGGTATAATGGGAAGCCGCACTGACTTCTGGCCTCTCTTTGAGTCCCAGCGGATCTTGACACATTTCTTCTTCCTTTGCTTTGGCTTCTTTGTCTATGGCCTCACTATGGCCCTGAGTGTGAGTGTACTGATGTGGTCATACAAGTGGTCCAGCTCTCAGATGTCATACAAAACAACCCTGGAGGCTCGGGATTACGAGATGATTGACTTCATGATCAAACAGTTCAAGCTTATGACTGGGATACAGAAACAGAAACCTGTGAGTGGGACTTAGATTACATGTCATTTATTATAAACATTTTTATGATCTATTGAAAGAGGTCCATCACAGGATGCCAATTAGATGCTATTTATTATTTCACAATATTATAAACTGTGCAATTTAAAATATATCTCTTCTGTCTTCTTCTGGATCGCATCATTTTAGAATATCTATTTGAGTAATCTATTGAAAGAGGTCCATCGCATGATGTTAATGGTTAAGTGATTGTTATTATTGGCATCTGTCTGTGGTGGGAGGCGAAGAAGTATGTGTCTAAGCCTTAATGTCAGGCAGCAGCTGCTGTGACTGTACAGTGCTATCCTGGAGTGGTAGGTCCTGTTGCAGTTGCTACATGTGAATTCCGCGACTGGCTTTGTGGATGCTGATTCTTCCCCCTAGCCTCTGGTTGTCTCTTTTGCTGTCTCTGTGACATAGAGTAATAATTTTCTTGTTTTGTCTCTAAGATTTGATTTCTAGAATGTGTATACATACATCATTAAAATTTTCATTCTTTTTTCCGGTTGTCGCTGACACAAAATACTCAGTTTAATATTTTGAACCTTGGATCTTGGATATGACTTACTGGGACCTCTAGCAATAAATTATTAAATTTATTTCAGGTTCAAACATTGAATATTTTGATGCTTATGCAACAAGGTCTTTTCTTAAACATTTTACATTTTATTTAATTCCTTCTCTGCAGGCTTTCCGACATGTCAAGTTCAAAGGTCTTCCTTCCCTGCCAAGCCGAGGCACCAGCTCCAACCTGTCGTCTCGCCAGTCTTGCAACAGCGTGTCTTCCAGAGTGTCAGTGCCGGCCCGGCCAGAGGTCACAGAGGATCAACATGTAGACTACCTCATGGCCAGTCTGCTACCCACGTGGGACCAGGTGCTGCAGAGTTTTCAGAAGGTAAGATCAATGAGGCAATTGGCAGAGATTGAAATAAGTGACTTGCTTGTTTGAAGCAGCAAATGGGTGCCTCATTTTAAGTCCCACAGGAATTCTATGGAAAATTTAATTAAACATGCTCTCTTAACTCTTCCTCTCCCAAACCGTGATCTCCACGGTGACCAAGCCATTTTGTTGGCCATTTTTTCCCCTTTATGACTGAAATCAGAAAGAAAACTATTGCCTCTAATATTTTTTAAAGAAACGCAAATATGTCGTGCATCAAAATGCCTAGAAATTAACTTTCTATTGGACACTGTAATGGAAGAAAGCAATTGGAGCATGAAATATTGCTTTGTGTAAATGTAGAGACCCTGTTTTAGAACAGATTAAGTATTTATAGACCTGTGACTTGGGGTTTGCGGTTGAGGATGAGTTAAGTTATAATTTTGTTGAGTGAGCATTTCCAAAAGTCATGAAAGACTTCACACAGTTACCCAAGTTGAAGATATAATCATTTGTCTTTTGACCATTAGGTCACACTTTGCTTTCTTTTTCTTTTGCTTTATACTAATTGCTATGATGTCATGGGAAATACAGTTTTAATGTCTGGAGTAGATGTGGCACATTGTTGATTGTAGGGTCATTTGGCTTTAAGGTTGTTTTTTTTTCATTTGTCAGCCCTTTTAAACTTGTTTTCAGTTTCTTCTCTAACCTTTGACTTGTGTTTCGTTTGATGAGGTAAATCTTAGCAATTTGATAAGCCAGTCAATGTATTTCATTTACATTGTCTGCCCCATGGCTTTCCTTAAGTTACCATTACAGCATACTTTTCCATGGAATTACAGCTGTTTACCACCAGTGCTGTCTGTCATACAACCATACTCTTAGATGGTTGTAGATTTTTAGATTACTTTTAGTTTCTACACATGAAAGTTTGTCGTCACGGGGTGCGAGCTCCTGTACTCTAGTTGTGGGGGATTTTTTAATGCCTTAATTGTAACACGTAGAAACATTTTTTGTTCATGGTAAGAAAAATTGCTCTTATATTATCTTTATTTCTAGCTGGAAGATCTAGACAAAGATGTTGATGAGGCAACTAAAAAGTTACAAGATGCAGTCAAAGGCTGGGGTCAGCCGCACAAGTCCGTACCCTCGGACCATGTGAGATTTCAGTCCGACAACTCCAAACCCATCATGGGAAAGCCTCCTCTAGACCCTAAAGCCACATTCGCAAAGTTCAGAGGTCGTGGGGCTGGTAGGAACATCACTGTGTTTGCTGGGCGGGCAGCCATGACTCCACCAACTACTTTCATGGCTGAGGTAAGGATACTTCAACTCAAAATATTTCAGCAATGTTTGTAAAGAAAAATTTTGAAGTTAAACAAGCTACCTGGAACCGTTCAAGTGAAAGATTTTTATTTCTCAACATTTCTTTCTACCATCAGGCTTCAGTATTGATGATAGATTTCTGGAATTAGAAAGAATGTTTAATTGTTGAGAAAGTTACTTTGATACAGACTTCATGATTTAGTTTATCATGTCTTTATAACTTGTTGCTCTAGGTTTCCTGGTCCATTTCACTTTGGGGCCTTTCACTTTTTATATTGTTTTTTTTTTCTTCTGAAAGAGACTTAAAAGTGCGGGTATATTTCCCAGGCATTTGCAGTTATATAAATAACCAATGTTTAAAGGGTTTGAAGAAGTTGAAATGCAGCTTTATATACTTTCATCTGCCTCATCAGCTGTCCAAAACATATGAACTCTTTATCTCGCTTATGTTTGCAATGTAACAACCCGTGACTGTTTCATAAAGGATCCTCCAATTGTGGTTCTGGCTACAAAGGCTTTGAATGAGTGATAGAAGAAAGCAGAAAGACTGACTCACTGTACTGTTGTACACTAACATCATGCCGAGCTCATAATATTAGAGGAAACTATTCGTGATAGTCATAGTCATAGGGTAAAACGCTCAGCCATATGGCTTTCCAAGGTACCACCCACAATTGCTTGTCATCTGTTGCAACTCGGTAAATGCATGGATGACATCAGGCATTCTGAGAGACTTTTCTCTCGTCTCTAGTGATTCGTTGAACAAGTACGGTACATAAAGTTCGCGCAGAGCTGATCACTCGATTAATCTTTAACCCTATAGAGGCATAACTAACATTACAGTCACCCAAACACCAGTGAGAAATTTTCTCTCAAAGACGCATATATTTTGAATAACCGATCAAAAGACTTTTCAGTCAACCCCCCAACACATCACTCGCCCAGCCTGAGATCTACGTGTCCATAGAAAGTTGGGTGTGAAAACGCCGTCCATCACTCTCTTTTTTCTGCGTGAGGAGCAGTCTCACCAAATATCTGATTGTTAAGGCTTGTCTTATGCAAACTGTGTGTGTTGTAGCGAAAATGTCCCTTTGTCAAGCTTTACCTGTTGGCGTGTTTGTGTTACACAGATTGAAGAATGTGTTTAGAGAGGGAATGTGCGTTTGTATGCCTAAATTTTATAGTAAAAAACCTGTGGAGAAAGCATGCGTTTGAGCGGAACTTACTTTTGTATGGCATGTGTTAAGGTGGAGGTTACTGTATACGAAATCTCCAGACTCCTGACTCTCCAATTCAACTGTGTTCTTGCCATCACTGATTTGTTTCTGAATACTCCATTAGCTCCATCAGACAAAAACCGAACTACAATGCATTTGATCAGTCTATTATTCCCTTTTAGACTTTTTTTTCCTCAATGGACTATTAGATCAGAGATTGAGCACAATTTCAAGGTGTCCTACATAAGTCACCTGAATTGCTTAGAAAAATGGCATTAACTGAACCTGAAACTGATTTTGTTTTTCCTACAGACACCACTTGGCAGCCACAGCAAAAGGCCCTTCAGTGATCAAGGCTTCAGGAAGGATCCATTCGTCTTCCACACAGATAACTCAGCAATCCCCATCCCCATTGGTCGACCTGTCAGCCAGACGAGCGCTGCCCCCAGCTCCACAAGCTCCAGTCAGCAAAGAGGCAGTCCTGGGCCTGGTTTCTATAGCAACGACAACTCTATTTCAGAAATGTATCCTGAGGTGCATGTTTACAAAGGGAAGGGCAGAGGAAAACATTCCAAGGTCAGCCAAGGAATAAATTTGACTCCTGGTGGTGCTGGGAGAGGAAAGCAGGCCTGGGATTCTGAAATCTAACCTGCTTTTGGCTTTGTCATGTTCGTCCGCTCTTTGATGAAGTTCGACGTCATTAGCAAATCCGCATATGTATAAACTGGAAATAAGAATACTGAGAAATCCTACTGAATATTGACCATAACTTTGACAAAATGTGCTGAGGTTGAAAACTCTAGTTTTCCTGTAGCACTGTTCCACTGCCATACCATTACAAAGCTGGTACCTTGAGGAGTATTGAATTACATTTATCAGGGCCTGATTTATTTAGGATGGGTATAATAAAACTACAGCATGGTACACTCCTCACGTGTATCTTTATTTTATTGTGGATTACAAATAAATTCTTTGTGGTGTATCCAATGAAATAATTATTTCATACTGCCCAATTTGGACTCATGTATACTCACAGAGAAAATTTATATTAGAGTAAAATCTGGAAACCAGTGATTATCCCCACCCCAGACTGTCCCGTATTCATCCCAGTTTGTGAGCTGCTAATCTTCACTTGAAGATTGTTACTTTTATTAATTTTTGTTCTGTCCAAACTGAGCTTTACTTGGAAATTCTCCTTTTATTTGAAGCAGCAAAATTTAAATTTCAGTTGTATTTTGTGAAATGCTCTGTAATAGAAAGCGTACACTCTTGAAAGTGAATTGTAAAGAAAACACATAATTAATGTCCAGGCCAAGATCAAACTTATCTTGATGCTAGGATACAGAACATAAGTCTGCCGAGATATCAGAGACAAACATGCTCTTTCATGTGTGTAGATTGTTTCTCAAAACTTGGTGAAATTTCCTCAAGGTGGACATGGGTGACATGCAGTCAGCAAAGCTAGCTCTTTTGTTTTCATAACTCCGTCAAAAGCTGGCTGTTATATAGAGACAAATTTCTGGTTGTTTTGAGTATACATGTATTTCTCAACTTGACTAGTTATGAGAATTCATGTCTCCACAGAAATGATTCACTTCCACTGTGATAATCAATGTATTTCATATTCCTTTTATATCATGTATGTCCATTTAAATTGAGTACCCATGTTATGAATGACTGACGTTGATCATACAATGTTACATAGCCCAGAATTGGAGTGAGACAGGTTGCAGCATCTTGAAGAGCAAAGGGATTGTTGAATAGGAAGCTTCCGTTTCTCCTGAATGTGCCGAAAGATACTTTTTCCTAGTCTCCGTCAATAATTTCATTTTTCAATCTCTCGATTTACCTGATGACGCTGCTTCCACATGTTACCTTTATGATGTTATTTCATCTATAAATATGTTCGTTTTATTATCTTAGCTTCCTATTTGTAGTGGTGAACAAGCATACATGTATAACTACCAAAGAATAAGCACTTTCCACATATTTAATTTTACTTTTATTCATGACAATGATCAGAATGTTTTGATATTTTTTTGGGTTGTTTTTATGTTGTAGTTATAAAAAGTACTTGTAGTATTTCCTGTTCATTGAAGGGGTGATTGTTGCTCTTGTTAATTTTTGAAAATAAATCTTCAATGGTACCTGTCAACCGTTTGTGAAATGAACAATGTCTGACATATGAGCTCTCAGTGGGCTTGTCATGATTGATTGTCCATTTTGGTTTGCTTGGGAAGTTGCATGAAAACTGTTCTGCTTAATGTTCCCAGATTTGTCATTTTATACAACAGGGTATTGGATATAAGTATTGTTGTTACTGGTCCTGATTAGGCATCAATAAACATTTATGCTTCTTTGAGTTATGTGTCACAATAATGCTCACAATATACATATTAATTGTGATTCCTCGTCTTAAAATTCTTTGTCTTTCTCAGTTCTTTCATATAAATTCTATGCTTAGTCTTTCGTTATGTCTGTTTCTTGATTTCACACATTTTTACATTTGATCCCAGATGTTTTATATTTTAGCAATACATTTCATTAATTTATCTTTAGTATAACAGTGTTGTGTAACTACATATTTCATTTTTTATTCACATGTTGCTTTCTGCTAAATTCATGAGATGGGGTGAATTGTGCACCCTATATCATGTTATACATTTTACCAGAGATCTGTGTTAGTTGCCAAATGTTTTTGTTCAATGTTAGCATTTTATTGTATTTTTTTATTTCTTTGAATATAGGCATTCTTCAATCTGCCTACCTATTATTTCTGACTTTCTATCTCTGTCTGCCTCTTTCTTTCTCTTTCTCTCTCTCTCTCTCTCTCTCTCTCTCTCTCTCTC